TCATTGTTTCTCATTGCCATGTAGTATTCCATGGTATAGATAAACCACATCTTCTTGATCCATTCGTCCGTGGATGGACACTTAGGCTCTTTCCATGTTTTAGCTATTGTCTCCACCACTCTTAATGATTAGTTTGTATACCTACCTACAGGGGTGCCTTCTTTTAAACAAAATTTTGAGTATATATTTCTGAAAAGTTTGATTAGAGGACTTACCTTCCGAAAAGAGCACTTCTTGAAACGAGTTCATTAAACAGGGTGTGCTGCTCTGGCATCGCCATAGTGTCCTCTGCTATACAGTTTTTCCCTTCTCGCTTTCTCTGTGCTCAGTGGCCGACTGGATACTCTGTTGCATTTGGGCAAGTTACGCCTCCCAGTTGGTCTCTTCCCGCTGGCATTTTGCTTAATTCTCCTGTGTGTGTGTGTGTGTGTGTGTGTGTGTGTGTGTACACCTCTTGCTGTGGAGAGAGCGTCCCTAGACTGGTGACGTCCCTGGCTGGCTTCTTGCTCACGCGTTTCAGTAAGGCGACCCAAGAAGACTGGGAACGGAGTTGATTAGGCTGTTAGGGAGACACCCGACATTAAAGCCCGGGGGATGGTACAGCCCGCGGCGACCGGAGGAGTCCTTCAGAGAGTATCCATCCCTGCTTTTGTTTCCTGGGTCGGTTCCTTTGGCCTCAGAATAAGCGGTACGGGTCTAACTGGGACGTTCCGGGTTAGTGCACAAGGAGTGTGTGATTTTTGAGGGGAAAAAATGTTCCTAACTTTGAACCAAGAGTGATAAATTCAATTTAAGTGTTTGGAAGTGAGGACCAGTCAAGGGGTTACAGAGCACGTGTGCTGTGGTCCAAATGTGACATTCTGAGAAGAGCACAAGCCGGGCCTACTCTCCCTCTGGCCGCGCGCTGGCGGGACGCTGGCCTTACTGTCCAGCACCCTGTCGCAGTCAGAAGCACTCACTTTCTTTTTTTTTTTTTTTTAGTTTTTTTTTTTAATGTTTTATTTATTTCTAGGAGACAGAGAGAGAGAAAGATAGCGTGAGCAGGGGAGGGTCAGAGAGAGAGGGAGTCACAGGCTGAAACAGGCTACAGGCTCCGAGCTGGCAGTCAGCACAGAGCCCGACGCGGGGCTCGAACCCACGAACCGCAGGATCATGACCCAAGCGAAAGTCGGACGCTTAACCGACTAAGCCACCCAGGCGCCCCGAGAAGCACTCAATTTCAAGCGGCGGTTTTGTTACACTTGCGAGTAAGACTCAGTTCTTTGGTCCCTTTCCACACAGCGTAACAGACTCCAAAAATAGAATGGGGGAAGAACGGATTGAATAGAGAAACAAAGAGCTATAAGCGTGGAAAGTACAAATAGAAGAATAAGAATAGAGTGACGAGAATAGAGGAGGAAGTCATTTACTCTGTGTTCTCGGTTTTGCCTTTGTTTGCGGTCTCACCGTATGTGAGGTTCTGTACAAGGCGCTGCAGAAGCAAGAGAGGTGCTGGGTGTCCCTCCCAGGGAGCCGAGGTGGTGGTTAGGAAAGAGACAGGGACACACCTGACCGTGGTCAGGGCCTGAGTGAGCGACAGCTGTCGTCAGGTGGAGACGACCGCGAGCGCGGAGAAGAGAACCAGCGGGCTCCTTGTGTGAGGTGACCTGAAGGAAGCGTGCGGGACTAGGGTCTTCGGAGCCGTCCAGGGTCCCGGCGTAGGGAGGGGACTCCCAGGCCCGCCAGGGGCGGCCGCAGGGCCTGGACTCTGAATGCCTGCGAGGGGCGTGGGGACGGTGACTTGTAGGGGTGCAGCCGGGACGTGCTTGTAAGTGAGGTTGGATGGCGCTGTGAATGCCATGCTCAAAACCTTTATTTAATAAAAAATAATGAGGAAATAAATGGGGTTAGTTATCTGTTAAGAATGGAGGCAGATCTCTAAACAATAAAAAAAAAAAAAAAAGCCTGCCTTTACTCCGTACAAGCGTTCTCCCTGGAGATGCGTCCGCCCCCCGCGCTCGCACCCGGCCCCCCGCGCTGTCGTGTAGGCCGAGGCTTTGGAAACCAGAGTGGGGATGGGACGGGCCAGAGAAAACGGTACTGCCAGTAAATTGTCCGTAAACAACTGCTAGGGGAGATAAAGACACAGCCGAAAAATGGGAAAAACGGTGTTGGAAAAAGAAAAGGGCTGACATACAAAGCGCTCTTTTTATCTTTAGTGTTGAGGTCTCTTCTGAAAACACGGTTCATTTTCTTTCTTGCCAGTGACCTACTTCTCTTTCCCATTCAGACTGATGCGTGCTGTGTACACCGTGTGTTGGTGCCACTACATGGTAGTGTAGTCGTAAGGTACCTATTGTGTGTCTAACTGGTTTATTTAAAAGGACACTGCTGAAGTGACAAGGAGATCATTTGTGGCTTTGCATAAATCTAATTTTAGGGCCTTAGTGCTAACTCTTAGGCCATATACCTATTATAGTCTTTTTTTTCTTCCAAATTTTTATTTAAATTCTAGTAAGTTACCTAATTTAAAAAAATTTTTTTAATGGTTACTCATTTTTGAGAGAAAGACACAGAGCGCTAGCCGGGGAGAGGCAGAGAGAGAGGGAGACCCAGAATTGGAAGCAGGCTCCAGGCTCTGAGCTGTCAGCATAGGGCCTGATGCGGGCTTGAACTCACGAACCGTGAGATCATGACCTGAGCTAAACAAAGTCAGATGCTCAACTTACTGAGCCATCCAGGTGCCCCAGTTAACTCTTCTTTAGATATAACTCATGTAGCAGAAAACTCACCCTTTTAATGTACACAATTCAATGGTTTTTAGTGTATTCACAAAGTTGTGCAACTATAACCACTAATTCCAGAATATCCCCCCCCCCCCGAAAAAAAAAGAATCCCCGTACCGTTAGCAATGACTCCCCGTTTACCTCTCCACTCCCATTTCCTGGAACCACGTATCTGCTTTCTGTCCATGGATTTACCCGTTCTGAATATTACATATAAATGGAATTATGTAATGTGTGGCCTTTTGTGTCTGGCTTCTTTCACTTAAAATGTTTTTGAGGTTCATCCACGTTGTATGTATCAGTACTTCGTTTTTATGGCTGACGAATCTTCCATTGTATGAATATGCCACATTTTATTATCCATTCAGCTGATGGACGTGTGAGTAGTTTCCACTTTTTGGCTATTACGAATAATGCTACCGTAAACATTCCTGTACAGGTTTTTGTGTGGACTGTGTTTCCATTTTGCTGGCTCACATGGTAACTTTATGTTTGGCTTAAAAATTTTTTTTTAATGTTCATTTATTTTTGAGAAAGAGAGAGGCAGATTTCGAGCAGTGGAGGGGCAGAGAGAGAGGGAGACACAGCGTCCGAAGCAGGCTCCAGGCTCCGCGCTGTCAGCACAGAGCCTGACGCAGGGCTCGAACTCACGAACCAGGAGATCATGACCTGAGCCAAAGTTGGACGCTCAACTGATGGAGCCACCCAGGTGCCCTGCTTCATGTTTGGCTTTTGGAGGAACTGCCGGTCTGTCTCCCGTTATTGCACGTTTGACATCCCCCCAGCAGTGTGTGAGGGTTCCCGTTCCTCCACATCCTCACCAGCACTTGCTCTTGTCTGTCTGTCTGTCTGTCTGTCTGGGGTAGCTGTCCGGGTGGTGTGAAGCACTGTCTCACTGTAGTTTTGATTTGCATTTCCCTGCTGACTGATGAGGTGGACCATTTGCTCATTAAAAAAAAAAAAAAAAATTTTTTTTCGATGAGTTTTAAGAGTTCTTTATATATTCTGGATTCAAGTCCCTTATAAGGTACATGGTTTGCAAATATTTCCTCCCGTTCTGTGGGTTGTCTTCACTTTCTGGATAATGTCCTTTAAAGCACAAAAATGTTTAATTTTGAGGGGCACCTGGGTGGCTCAGTCAGTTAAGCGTCCGACTCTCCATCTCAGTTCAGGTCTTGATCTCAAGCTTGTGAGTTCGAGCCCTGTTTTGGGCTCCACGCTGGTCATAAAGCCTACTTTAAAAAATAAAAATAAAAAGCTTTAATTTTTATGAAGTTCAGTTTATCTTTTTTCCTTTTGTTTCTTGTGTTCTTTGTGTCATCGAGTTAATTTAAAAAAATTTTTTTAATGTTTTATTTACTTCTGAGAGAGAGACAGCGTGAGCAGGGGAGGGGCAGAGAGAGAGGGAGACACAGCATCTGAAGCAGGCACCAGACTCCAAGCTGTCAGCACAGAGCCTGATGCGGGGCCTGATCCCACAAACCGTGAGATGGTGACCTGAGCCACCCGGGCACCCAGGTTCACTTGGTTTTGTGCCGCTCTTGAAATAAAGCAGGCAGTGGAAAGACCCTTAGCATTGCACCTGCTTATTTTCCTTCCTTCTGCACCCGCTGACCGGGACACCCTCGGAAGTAAATGCACGGGCAGCGGAACCTAATGGGTGAGGTGACGGGCTTTGGAATAAGTCGGCTGCGTTGAGGTCTCCCGCCTCACCCTCTCCTAGCTGTGTGCCGTCAAGCAAGGTGGCCGACCTCTCTGAGTCAGGGTCCTCATCTGCGGCATAGGGGTAGGGAGACACTTGGGGAGAGTGGATGCAGTGAAGCAGAGCGAGTGGCTGACGGGGCTCGGTCTGTGGTAGCTGTCGTACTTGTTGTCGTTATTGTATCTTTAACCCCAGATGTCAACGTTTATTCGTCAATTGCATTCATAAGTTAGGAGCTGGTGTATGTAGGTTCCACAGAGATGCCCTGTGCTTAAAAGGGGGGGGGGGGCGCATAAAACTTGCGGTTTAGATCAAGAGAGGCCGCTAGGCTAGCCCAGCCTTGCATAATCCGCCGCCGCGATCCCTTCACGGGGAGTTTGGTGTCTGGGGCTCGCACCGTTGGGCTTCTGCGTCACCCTCTTGCCGGGCCTGCCCGCGTCACCTGCTGAGATTTGACTTGACAGGTGGTCCTGAAAGAAACAGCCATTCCTCAAAACCGCCTGTGAAGACTTCTCCGTGTGTTCGTTCCACAGAAACTTCCTGCGCTTCTGTCGCGAGCCTGACGCTGTGGTGAAACGCCTTTCCCTGTTGTCCACGTCCCAGTGACTCTTGCCAGCGGCCCTAGGAGGTAGGTGCTGTCGTGACCGTTGTCGTGGCCAATGTCCGGCGAGCTGCAGGAGGACACGGCTTGGCCCGGGCTCTGCGCTCCTGGCCTCTGTCCCAGGAACCGTTCTCCGTTCCGACGCTGGGCTAGGATTCTGTCGCGGGAAAGTTTGCCCCTCTGCCTTGGCCGCCCGGAAGCTTCTGGACACAGCGCTGCCTTAGCCGTAGCCCAGCACTGCCCGTGTCCCATCGGTGCGCCTCCCTCTCGACACCGTTCTTTTTTCCTTCTTTGCATTAGCTTTATTTAATCCTTTGGAACGGCAGGGTTGTTCTAAGCCCCTCAGAATTTGGGCAAGTTTTGAAGAATGAGTGAAATATTTTACATTTTTATCCTAATAAAATTTTACAGTTGTCTGAGTGTGAAACTTTGAAAAGAAGGGTGGGCAGGCGAAACACTTGGTGAAAAAATGATGATTGAAGTGTAGTATTTCATTCTAGGATATTTTTTAGGCCGAGAAAGGTCATGGACAGCTTTTAGGTGTGGTTTTCTTTTCCTTTTACTTCATTTATTTTAGGATGTAGGCTCCTTTAAAAGAAATTTTTTTTTTTTTACGTTTGTTTATTTTGTAGAGAGAGAGAGAGAGACAGAGTGCGAGCAGGGAGGGGTAAAGAGAGAGGGAGACACAGAATCCGAAGCAGGCTCTGAGCTGTCAGCCCGGAGCCCAACGCGGGGCTCAGACACACAGACTATGAGATCATGACCTGAGCCAAAGTCAGACACCTAAGCAGCTGACCCACCCAGGCGCCCTGCACTGGTTTTCCTTTTAAATGAAAACTCTGGGTGCTAATACAAGCCAGATATTTATTCACATTTTAGTTTTTGTTTTCACTTTTAAAACTATGAAAGCAAATTGAAAGTGCATTGCTAAGGTGAGCTTTCTAATTTTTTCTTTGCAGATAATGATGCTGCTTGAACTGAACAATTAAGGTAATATTTATGACCGATGTAATATGCTTTTTTTATTCAGGTTTCTTTATCCAATTTAGCTGAATTGTTAAAGTCATGTTTTAACCTTGGTGAGGATTATTACTACTGCCCTGGGGCAGTCATCCCAAGCTGGGGAGTACAAACGACTTCACGTTCGTTAGAAGGTGAGTTCTGGAATAGCATAACCGTATGCCTTTATGCATTCGGCTTATACTGAAGTTTCAAAGCATTTTACTGTTTTTGGAAAAGCAAAAGGGAACCTTGTTACTGTCTGTGGGCCGGTGCTGGTTATGTTCGTGTGCGGATTGCCCGACGCCAGCTTTTGTTGGATCCAGTGGGAAAGAAGATAGTTAGTGGTTACCTGTATCACCATGTGTGCTTGTACACAGCTCTGCAGGGAAAATCAGAGAGACGGTTGTATACGTCTTAGCAGCCTCACAAATAGGATGCCCAGCAGGCCCCAGATTACATGTGGGAAATGAACAGAACTGTACCCTACTTCCTGGTGCACGGGTCTAGCATACCCCAGATTTGTTTAATCGGAAAAATGGCACAAACTAGGAGATCCTACGTCATTACGAAAAAAGAAAAGAACCATGTCAGAGTATCCTGATAACACTGTAAACAGCAAATCTCAAGGAATTCCTAAGTCTTCATTTGGTAGATCCGGGCAGCCAGTCGCCGGGGTGGAGGTTGTCACATTGCACGCTCTGGTTTATAATTGGACGTGGGGACCCTAACCGCTCCATGCCGGGCAGTGCAGCTTTGTGTCCGGTACTCAGACGCCGGGACGAATGGTCTGTTGGGATCACGCACACCTCTTACACCCTCATAGCCCAGCGTGGGACTTTGGTGTTCGCGGATCTTGAAAATCGTGCGAAAGGAACAGCCTCAGGATGGGGGCCGCCAGGGGAAGGCCCCTGGTGTCGGTGTCGGTGTCGGTGAGCGCGGTGAGGGGGTGACGTGGGGCAGGACGGCCGCGGAGGCAGCGGTGCGGGGCCAGGCCCAGAGCAGGGGTGGACCCGGCAGCCGGGCACGTGGCATCGGGGCTCCGTCCCACCTGACCACGCGCTTCCAAGGGACCCGAGCCGAGGAAGGCGAGCCGGGCCGCCAGGCCGGGGTCCGGAGAACCGCTGACCGACGTTAAGCGTGGGGCGTCAGGCCGGCGCTTTCCCCGGGTCGGAGTAGCCGGGGTGCCTTTTTGGTTTTGTTAGTCTTTTTCCGATAAATGGGAATCGTCGGGGCAGGACTGCAAAGAATTAGACCGGGGGGCGCGTCCCACACGGTTCCCTGCGTGAGGCGAGGGAGGGCCTGTTTCGGTTCCTCTCTGGCCCGCGCCTCGCCGGGCCGTTGCGCGGAGCGACCCCCGGAAGCGAGAAACGTCCCCACGAGGCACGTACTTCGATTGCCTCACGGTTTCGTTGGCCGGTTTAAATTGTGCCAGCTGCGGTGGTGGCTAGTAGCAACATCAGTGGGCCGGCCGGAGGGGCCGGTTGCCACAGGTTTTACCAGACTAGTGCAACATGCAGTTGGAAACGCAGAATTCTTACACGTTACAGGAAGTGTTGAATTTCATAATACTGGCTCATGTTTGCATGTAACCAGGAGAGCGCCAGATGGTGTTTACTGCAGTGATTTTGCAAATTCATCCTGGTCAAGTTAACCATTCCTGTTCATGTCTTCGTTACCTTCCCAAAGAGGGATTCACAGTATCCGCTTTCATGTTAAAGTTCAGGACCATTTTTGCTCCAGAACTGCGCTGGCCACTACAGTCATTGCCTCTTTAAATGTGGCTATTCAATTCAGTTACAACTTAAAAATAATTAAAAATCGGGGCGCCTGGGTGGCTCAGTCGGTTAGGCGTCCAACTTTGGCTCAGGTCATGATCTCATGGTTCGTGGGTTCAAGCCCCGCGTCGGGCTCTGTGCTGACAGCTCAGAGCCTGGAGCCTGCTTCAGACTGACTGACTCTCACTCTCTCTCTCTCCTTCCTCACCCCTCTCTCCCCTTCCCTCACTCCCCCCCTTGAAAAATAAACAAACATTAAAAAAAATTTTTTTAATAAAAACATTAACATCGAGTTCTCATTCCCTTCGGCCACATGTCACGTGCTCAGTGGCCACATGTGGCTGGTGGCTGCCATAATACTGGATGGTGCAGATGGAAGAAGATTTTGGTAGTGCTGCTTCAAAGCTCGTCTTCTTTTACAAATTTTAATATACTTAAAAGCCATGGGGCTCCTGGGAGTGGCTCAGTTGGTTGAGAGTCGGACTTTGGCTCAGGTCACAATCCCGCGGTTTGTGGGTTCGAGCCCCACATTGGGTGAGCTCGAGCCCCGTTTCTCTCCCTGTCTCTCTCTGCCTTCGTGGGATTCTCTCTTTCTCCCGCCTTCCCTCCCTCTTTCTCTGCCTCTCCCTCACTTGCTCCCTCTCTTTCTCTCTCCAAAGAAAAATTCTATTGCTGCAGGGGCGCCTGGGTGGCTCGGTCAATTAAGCATCCAAGTCTTCGTTTCTAAGTTCATGATCTTACAGTTTTGTGAGCTCGGGCCCTACGTCAGGCTCTTGGCTGGCAGTGAGGAGCCTGCTAGGGATTCCCTCTTTGTCCCTCTCTCTGCCCTTCTCCTACTTGCATTCTCTCTCTCAAAGTAAAAAACTTTTAAAAAAGTCCCACTGACGTAAATTTCAGCCAACTCCGGACAGCGTCCCTGATGAAGAGAATGGGGTCCGTTTACTCCGTCGTTGGCCTGGTTTTGTCCACGGCCGGATCAGCCGGCTCCTGTCTCTGCTTTCCTGGTCACGCACGGGCTCCTGCGGTGATAGAGCGGGGAGAGAGAAGTGGGGGTCAGCGAGCGAAGCCCTGGCACGGGACGAGAGCCGGTGGCAGAGCTGTCGCCATGCCAGCCAAGGGCTGTTTGAAGTTGTTACAGGCACCTGCCTGCTCCGGTCGCCTCCTGCCTCTGACGGATAGGGGCAGGGCTTGTCGTGAGGACGCGGGGCGGGGGGCGGGGGGGAGCCAGGCCTTGGGCGGAGGGCTGGCGCTGAGTGCCCGCCGCGCTCCGCTGTGCCCTGAGGGGGAGGGCACGAGTGCGCCCGCCCCGCTGCCTCCGGGAACAGCGGTGGGGAGGTGCCTGGCACGCGCTCACCTGCCCAGTACGGCCGCCCTGGCCCCGGGCCGCTCTCCGCGCCGAAGGAGCGGGGCCGCCGCGTGCCGGTCCCGGGGCCCGCGGGGGGCAGCCGGGCGGTGTGAAGGGACATAACGGTGCCTTCTTCTTTTCCAGGGTTCTGAGGTCTGAGAGTGACAATGGCGGGAAAGTCGTCGCTTTTTAAAGTGATTCTCCTCGGAGATGGCGGAGTGGGGAAGAGCTCGCTGATGAACAGATACGTGACCAACAAATTTGACACCCAGCTTTTCCATACCATAGGTGTGGAATTTTTAAATAAAGATCTGGAGGTGGATGGACATTTTGTTACCATGCAGATTTGGGACACGGCCGGCCAGGAGCGGTTCAGAAGCCTGAGGACGCCCTTTTACAGGGGTTCTGACTGTTGCCTGCTCACTTTCAGTGTCGACGATTCTCAGAGCTTCCAGAACTTGAGTAACTGGAAGAAAGAATTCATCTATTACGCAGACGTGAAAGAGCCCGAAAGCTTTCCCTTTGTGATCTTGGGTAACAAGATTGATGTCAGCGAACGGCAGGTGTCCGCGGAGGAAGCCCAGGCCTGGTGCAAGGACAACGGCGACTATCCTTACTTTGAAACGAGTGCAAAAGATGCCACCAACGTCGCGGCGGCCTTCGAGGAGGCAGTTCGAAGAGTGCTCGCCAGCGAGGATCGGTCGGATCACCTGATCCAGACGGACACCGTCAGCCTGCACCGGAAGCCCAAGGCCAGCCCGGCCTGCTGCTGACCGCTCGAGAGGCCGTCCCCCGCGCCTGCGCACAGCAGCAACGGAGAGTCCACTTCTACAATTAACCGTGTTGCTGCTTCGTTAGTGGGTGGGAGGAGGGGTGCATCCGCTCTGGAAGAATCCGTGTCCCCGGTAGTGGCACCTTACATCTGTAATCGGTAATGGTTGTCTAATAACGTTTAATTTAAACATGTAAGTTACAGAGCTAATAAATGAGATGATCAAGACTTTAATAATGATTAAAACAAAACACTTGAATATTCTAGAAGTTACTGGTTTTTTGTTCCCCTGGGAAAATGGAGAACTACTTTTTATATGTGCATATTTTTATGTCATTAGCCGTCAATTCCTGGTTGAGGGAAAACTATTCCCTGAAGCGATAATGTTAAATATTAAAGATTAAAATTGAATGCATTTTCCGTCGCAGTTATTTGATCACTTCTTCTCTTTAAAATCGCTGAGGTGTTCCTATGCTTTTTAAAAATTTTAAGTCCAAGTCAGTTCACATCTAGCATGGCAGCGGTCCACTGTTCACGTTCGCCTTCTCCATGTCGGAACTGAAGTTGGCGGGCCACACGTGTGACCCCCACCCCCACCCCCCGGCCCAGAAGCCCACTTTAGGACTCTTGGAGGAAATCCTAAGGATTGTGCTTTGTGTGAGGGTACGCGCAGCTGGCTGTGTTGGGTCACGCGTTCGGTGCCCTCTCTAGCAGCGAACGTTGCTCTGGGATTGGCTTTCCGGGAGGTTTTGCATCCTCGGACTTCCTGAGCGAGCAGCTCGAGGTCTTCCTGGGTAAAGTTCACGTGCTGTGCCATGTGTGTCCCTGCCGTCCCCCAGAGGCCCACTAATCCGCTGGGGGGCATCGAAGGGCCTGCCGGGGCGGGGTCATCATGCCCTACTCCTCGGGAGCCACTGAAAGAGGGTATCCTCATCATTCAGTAAGCTGAAGTTTTGAAAGTCTATTTCCTAACAGTTTGGTTATTGGCAAAACAGTTTAACATTTTGAATTTGGGCAGATAGTTTTCTCAGGTTAGAGAGAGTTGCAGTTTCTTTATTTACAAAAAAGATGCCCCCCCCCGCCCCGGGGTGCCCAGGTGGCCCAATCGGTTAAGCGCCTCGACTTGGGCTCAGGTCATGGGCTGAAGAACTCAGGGTTCATGAGTTAAAACCCCGCATCGGGCTCTGTGCTGACAGCTCGGCGCCTGGAGCCTGCTCTGGATCCTGTGTCCCCTCTCTCTGCCCCTCCCCTGCTCACGCTCTGGCTCTCTCAAAAATAAACATTAAAAAGAAATAGGAATCCACCATTAATAAATTGGTGTATATATTCTCTTCCCCTTTTTTTCCTCTAGGGGAATTGGGTTTTTTTTTTCAGTTAAAAGTGTACCCGTTGTTTTGTGATTTGCTGTTTTCTCTCCATATATGTGGACATATTTCCATTATAGTGTATCTACCTCATTTATCAGCTGTACAGATGTTTAAGTTCATTCAAACCATTCTCTATTGATAGATACCTAGTATCTGTCACTATCACTTGTTCAGCAGGGGGTGTTAGGAGTAAGTTTTTTCGTTCATTTTGTTAAAGATTTTATTTTTCAGTAGTCTCTACACCCAATGTGGGGCTTGAACTTATAACCCCAAGATCAAGAGTCGCATGCTCTACCGACTGAGCCCGCCAGGCACCCCTTGTTCGTTTTCTGAATAGATGAGTCACATGTTTCAAAATCATAAGGCACAAGGGTTTCAAGATCACAAGGCCTAAGGGGCCGAGATCTCTACCCTTTTGCCACCGGTTCCCGTCCTTGGAGGCAGCACCGTCAGTGTCTGGGGTGTCAAGCTGGGTGTTTAGTACTGCGGGAGAGCATATTGTATTCGTTCGGTGGCGCTGCGTGAACAAAGTGCATCCTGGGGGCCTAAACGCTGGGAATTTTTCTCACAGTTCTGCGGGCTGCAAGTCCAAGATCAAGGTGTTGATAGGTTTAGTTTCTCCTCGTGTGTCGGTGGCTTGCAGATAACCTTGCTCTGTGTGCAGTGCCGCTCTCCCCACCCCCCCCCCATGTCTCTCTGTCCAAGTTTCCTCCTCTTACAGGGACACCAGTCAAATTGGATGTAGGGCCCACCCTGATGGGCTCATTTTCACTTAATCGCCTCTTTAAAGGCCCCGTCTCCAAATTCGGTCACATTCTGAGGAACTGGGGCTGCACATAGTTTTGAGCCCAGAGCACGTGTGTGTGTGTGTGTGTGTGTGTGTTGGTAGTTAGTGTACAGTTTTGATACTCATATTGAACACTTTGCTGGTTTTTTAAAACCTCAGCAGCTTTTCAGTAACCGTTTTTCAGCTGAACATTCGGGGATTCGTCGGTCAAGAGGCCTAGAGCAGGGAAGCAAACAATGGGCAAGGGAACACATCTCCCCGTGGGTAAAGACAGGCGCGTGGGAAGGGAGAGTAACTCAGTTTAACACCGTGACTTAAAGGGATCCGGGGGCCAGCTGACCGAGCAGGTGCTGACTGACCTGTGACAATTAAGAGCAGGAACGAAACCTGACCGAATGGCTTCGGTCTTCAAACAGAAATCGAAGGAGCTGATGGAAAAGCTCTTCAATGAGCAGCAAAAGGTAGCTGCGGATCGGATCGGATCGGATCCTTTCGCGTTTGAGGAAAGGAGAAGGTCCTTTGATTGGCTGGCGTTGCCTACACGGAGACAGCAAATGCTGCAGCGGGGCTGTGCGGGAACCCGGCGCCGGCACGGCGAGCCCCGGGCCGGCGGGAGCGGGGGGCGGGGGGGGGGGGCCGCGCGGGCCTGGGGAGGGGCCCGGGCGCTGCAGTCCCGCCGCTCGCCACACGGCGGCGGGCGCCATCCCGCGCTTCTGAGCCCACGCCTGGAAACGGGCACAGGTACATCTGAAACCGGTGTAGCAAATAACACTGTGCGCTGTGGAAGCTGGAAAAGCGCCCTTCCATCGATGGGGTACCGTGTTTGCCGCCTTGTGAAAAATTCCCTAGTTGAAGTTAAAACATGCTAGATGTTCATTTTTTAAAAAGTTGATTTGGTAGAGGGAACGGGGAAGGGGCAGAGGGAGAGACTCCCGAGCAGGTTCTGCACTGTCAGCACCGCCCGGTGCGGGGCTGGAACCCATGAACCCGTGAGATGATGACCTGAGCGGAAATCGAGTCGGACGCTTGACAGACTGAGCCCCCCAGGCGCCCCTAGATGGTCCTGGTCTTAAGCGAAAACCTTGAGCGTGACATTTCCGTGAACGGTGTGTAAGCTTTCCCGGTAGTAGCGTGACGCCGTGACACCAGTTCTGTCACAGTCCCAGTGGCCCGTGGGGCGGTGCCGTGAGGTGGGAAAGCGGCCCTGAGAAGCCCCCGCCCGTGGAGCGGCCGCCGGAAGGGTGGGAGGGTGGAACAGGGCCGCGCGGCGGCGCAGGGACAGCCCGCGGGCGGAGCCCAGACGAGCCCCTCGATCGTGCGTGGGAACGCGGGCTCCGGGGAAGGGGCCCAGGGCACGACAGGCCATCGGGCTCGCGGGGTGTCTTCGGGGCGCCCCGGGGGCGCTAACGTACACGACAGGCCTGGTGCCCAACCGGCTTCTGCTCGCTGGAGCCTGACGCCCGGGGGGCCATTCGTGTCACCCCACTGCTCTTGTGTCCCTGAACACTCAGGGACGTCCCCCACCGCCAATCTGAGCTTTGCTGGCGCCGCGGCTTCCCTGGCCGGGCCCACCCGCCGCCGCTCTGTGGCCCCCTGCGCTCGCGCCCCACGTCCCAGCCGCTCGCGCCCTCGAAGCGGGCTCCTTCAGGGACAAGTCGCGGGCACAGCCTGACACCGGACTGCGGCCGCGCCCCCACGCGGGGCCCCGCTCCTCCGTGCTCCTCACAGCCTGGTGCTCCGCCCCCCCGCCCCCCCCCCACGCGGCCCCCGCTGCCTAAGGTCCCGACCAGGGTGTCCCGGGTGAGCACGGCAGAGAGGCCCCCGCAGCGCCGGCACCTCGTTCGAGGCCGTCTGAGTTCTGTAAAATGGGTGCGCAGCCTTTGAAGGGGGGGGCAGGAGGCGCAGGACAGGAGCAGTGGCCGGAGCAGCACTTACGAGACCCCACACTCTTGGACAAACAGCTTTATTTGAGAAGCCAAGTAGACAGACGGGGTAAAAATTACGGCACCGGCTTCCCACAAGGGCAGGAGCCCAAAGGCAAGCACCGGCCCAGGTTACTCAGGATGGGACAAAGTGCCGGAAGTGCTCCCACGCTGCGCGGGACAGACGTGGTCACAGTGCTCGTATTTAAATGGGCACTGACCCGTTTACAGTAGGCGCCCACTTAGGGCAGCAGGGCGCTCCCACCCCCGGGGTGGACAGCCTAAAAAGCACAGAATGCAAACGTCCGTGTGATACAAACTCTTCTTTCTTAACAATTTGACAATTACAACGTTTCGCTCGTCTATCAACTGGCTCACTTAACTCTTCAGTTTACTGTCTGAGGGAAAGGCGAGGTAAGAACGTTCCTGCCACTCTGGTCGCGGCCTCCCGGCTTGGACACGGCCGCAGGACTCGGGGCGCACAGCACAACCGCCCAGCCCAGGCCCCGACGGCGGCGCGCACGGGGCACCTGGCGCCGGAGAGCTGCTGGCGCGGCTTCCCGGGAAGTGCCACGGTCGCCGCCTCTACGTTTCGTCACAACATCTCTACAGCCCACGGACAGGCTGGCCACTTCATTCCCTACTGCAGAAACTTCGTTTTAAACCTACCGAATCTTGACAGTGACATTTGGTTCTGGACTGTGACATCAAGGTGAAGCTATCTGAATAAGTAAAGTCACAAGCCCCTTCTTACTTTTTAGAACAAAGATATTTTCAAGGTTATAAAGAGTTTATAAATAACACTGTTCACAAGCAAATACCGATCTATTGCTAATCCTGAGAAACCGAATGTACTGTCTTGAAATATATAAGGATTTCCATTAGGTTTAGATAAATGCAGACTACAGGTAAGACTTTTCTAGGCTCTTTACTGAACTCACTTACAATGTACACATTCCTGAGAATACCCCATTGTAGTGACATTGTTTATTTCCAAATTTTTCTGCATTCAACTCAAAAGGTGTTTCTTCCCAAGGAACTGAACTTTTCTGTCAAAGGCGCTCGATCGGATAGGAGAATTGGGTTCATAAAATGGATTCATCGCGAACTAGGAGAGAAGAAGGTTATTAGTGAGCTTGTCAAAGTAAAAAGGCTGACAAATCATGGATCTCTAGAAGGAAATTACTGTAACATTTTAAGTTAAATCATCAAAGACATCCAAAACAAAAGTCTGAAGATCACGTTAAATTGCAACGAAAATGTTCCGCTGGTAAACAGTAACACCCTCTTGAAGAAATTTTTGTTGTGGAGTTTTAGTTTTGAGAAGTACTTATGGCAGAACTAACGGTGGTATGATAAGTGCTGCCTATATAAGCCAAACACGGTTTCAGGATTCGCCCTGTGTGTGAAATACTAATCCTCTCACGTTAATTATAAATATGTGGCTTAATCTGTAAGGCCCTTTGGCTACATAAAACTAAAAATCTACCATATGCTCATAGTGAAAAAAAAAAAAAAAAGTTATACCACATTGCTATTAGGTTACTCTTACGTAGTAATTTTTTTTTAATGTTTGTTTATTTTTGAGAGATAGAGACTGAGCACGAGTGGGGGAAGAACAGAGAGAGGAGAGGGAGACACAGGAGAGGGAGACACAGAATGCGAAGCAGGCTCCAGGCTCCAAGCTGTCAGCACAGAGCCCGACGTGGGACTCGAACTCACATACCGGGAGATCATGCCCTGAGCCGAAGTCGGACGCTTAACTGACTGAGCCACCCAGGTGCCCCTATGGAGTAATTTTTTTAACCAGCTGGTTTTTAATACTCTCCTTTAACTCACGGCTAAGTGATCAGATTCTCGACCAATGTAATGAATATACCACAATATATGTGAGAAAAGTGTTAAATGAAATCACTAATAAGGAAAAGGAGTTAACCAGTTTTTGCTTAATTCACTTGATGTGGTCCTTCTTAAGAGGACTAAATATTCTTATTTGCTACTTCTGACTAGGAGTATTAACTCTGCTGATATGCAAAAAATCCTGTCCAAGTACAGAACATTTAAATTACTAAGAACATACTGTTAGCGCTGCAGTTTGCTAACATCCTATTAGTATTTTATTTTTTCTAAGTAAGCCTCAAGAAATGCGAGTGGCCTCATTCTTGAGTGACTGTTTGGTAAACTTCCCGACAGTTTATCACGTATAGTCACTGCATTGTAACTTACTTGTAAGGTAGATGGAAAAGATTTTAGATTAAAATTATGAGGCAATTTCCCTTCCGTAGCCGGCTTCCTTCTCTTTTTAGGGTCCCCGAATAAAGTCAACACTATGTGCCAAAAGGGGGAAACAAACCAATTTAAAAATAACTGGCACGAGTTCTGTGCTAGGTACATGTCGCCCTGGCGGGGAAGAGCCGCCCGCCGGGGGAGGGACCAGGGCCACTTCGGATGGGGACAGAGCTGGTGTGGCAGAAGAACGCAGTACGGACGGGGTTACCGCCACAGGCCCGCTTCCGGTCACGGCTGCGATCCCTTTCTACGATCAGGTGTGCAGACAAATAGAACATAGCGTACCTTTATGTATAAATCATAGACATCAGTAAAGAAGTTCTTTATCCCATCTTCTTGCCTTATGTCATGCAGCATGATGAATCTCATATGTAAGATAATTAAGGTAGAAACTTAGAAATGAAAATGAAAAGAATTCAGGTGATAGGATACCTTTCCAGTTCGTCACATGCACTGTATTTTGTGATGGAGAAGCAAAACACATAACCTGGGTTTGACATTAGGTTAGTTTTATCCTAAAAGAACACATAATTTTTAAAGTTCGAAAATAACTACAAAATAAAGTAAAATCAACCTTATAGTTCAGGTTAACCTTCATGTTATAGGAGACTTGGTTTTAAAATTATCTGTTAAACAAAATGTTTTTTTTTTCTGTTAAAACAAATAAAAGTAGCCCCCTAAATGGCAATTTCTCCCTGACACTGTGCAGTCCCCAGGCTCGCAGTCTGCCATCTATGTCCCATGTTTTGTTTCATTTAAATTTTTTTTTATGTCTTTATTTTGAGAGACAGAGAGCGAGCAGGGGAGGGGCAGAGAGAGAGGGAGACACAGAATCTGAAGCAGGCTCCAGGCTCCGCGCTGTCAGCTCAGCACAGAGCCCGACGCGGGGCTCGAACCCACCAACCGTGAGATCATGACCTGAGCCGAAGCTGGACGCTTCACCGACTGAGCCCCCCAGGCGCCCTGTCCCATGTTGTTCTAGTTTGTCACCTGAACTTGAGCGATCTTCCATAAAAAGGTAAGGATATGACCTGCAGTAACAAATGCTGAAACAAACCACTCGTTGAACTTGTCCACGGTTTTCAAGTACATGTTGTTCGACAGCCACATGTTCTCATCTACAAGGTCGAGAGCAGCATGAGCGATGAACTGGTTCAGGTGACGATGATCGTCCTAGACGACAGCGTAAGCCACACATTAGCATCTGCAGACAGCATCGAGAACGCCACCGTTGCGTTCCACAAATTCAACGCACGGTTTTCAGTTTCAGGCCGGGTGGGGGCGGGGGGGGGGAAGGGTGGCATTTCCTGCTTTTACTGCATCTCGTGCTGTCTGGGGACTTAACAAAAGAGCTTACGTGTTTCTACATCATAGTCTGCCTCTTAACTTGGTATCTAAAAGTCGACAAATAGAAATGGCTGACTAATAAATGAAATGTGCTCAACAAATTATACAGATTATTTCTTTAATTTCCCAAGAAGTTAACAAATTCAGTAACCACTGAACCATGAAAAATGAATTGGTTAAGAAAAGAGAGATCTTACTTTAAAGACCTTTACGTCTTTTTAGAGGAAGCTGTGAAAAAATGCATGCGGTTATGGATAAAGGACAGCAACTGAGGTAGGCTGGAGCTGAGGAGGTGAAGGAGAGCTACAGGGAGGCGACCTTGGCGTGGGTCTCGGTCAGAGGGAGGCAGGGGACACAGGGCGAGCCAGGGACACGAGACAGCTGAGGAGGGGGCACTCCTGAAGGCCTGGCACAGGCCTCTCAGGGAAGGGAGCTCACGCACCAGGGGGCCTGGGAGTGGCAGGAGGCCACGCTCAGCCCCGGCTGCGATCGGTCACCTGTGTCCGCGGCAGGACACAGCCCTGTCATAGCGGTGTCCCTCTCACGGGCTTCACCGGAGGCGGCGGGGCTGTCCCACCACGGTGCGGAGCGGGAACTCCCCACCTGGAATGGTCTTACTCCTGTGGAATTCTCTATTTCCAAAGAGATTTTTCAAAGAACAGTTCTGTCCTGGGAGGAACTGGACTCTTGGGCTGAAGTCCGAGCCCCGCACCCCCAGGTCCCCAGAATGGGGCCTCGTCTGGAACGAGGGTCACTGCAGATGCGGTCAGCAGGCTAGAGCACGACAGCCCCGAAGCGGGACCCCCGGCGTATTTCTAAAGGCGGGTGAGCAGACAGACACGCACACAGGGAGCGGGCCGCGTGAAGACCGGACTCGTGCGGCCACAAGCCGAGGAAGCTGGGACAGAGGCCTGGAGTGGGGCTTCCCTAGCACGTTCGGAGGGGCCGGCCCCGCCCCCGCCTCGTTCCCGGACTTCTGGGCTCGGACCTGTGGGGCCCCCCCGGGTCGGGGTGCTGTGGACGGCGGCCCTGGGAGAGGCAACCTCCGCTGCCGCCGCTGGGCTGGAGGCCGCCGACGGCCTCGGAACGCCCCGCGCCGCTCGGGCCCGTCTACACCGCGCACGTCACCACGACCACGCGCATTTACTCCTGACAGAAAGAGACTATGTTGTGTCTGGCTTACAGCCGTGTTTCCTGTCACTTCACTCGGATGGTCAATCAGAAGATTAGAAGAAAAATGCAGAACTGCTTTAAGGTGAGTGCTAACAGAAGAGCCAAGGGCAAGTCAGACAACAAAGCGCTTAGAGGGCCACTGCTCTGCCTGGCGCAAGGCCGGGAGCAGGGCTACAGACGCCCCAGCGCAAAGCTGCAGTGCGCGCTGTGCTCGTGCGGCCATCACGGGCCGACAAGCCAGCCGGCAGAGGACACAACCGTCTACGTGTTTCAGTGGCAAGACTTAAGTGGTAGAAAGCACTATACGCTGGACATTACGCGCTACAACTCGTTTCAAAACTCAATCCTTGTCTGAAAGGACACGACAGCTTATTCTGGAAGCTGGGAGAAGCTCAGCGTGGCGTGCCAGCAGTTTACTAGCGACATGGGCGAGTGCGGAGATGAGCGGGGCCCGGGGTTCCCAAGGCCCCACGTTTACTCCACCCGGCAGCACGGCCCCCAAGCGGGCTTGCTCCTCTGGGGCCATGCGTGGCGTCACCCGGTCAGTAGGTGGTGCGGAAGGTCCCTGAAAAGCGCTCCAGTCTCAGGGCCAGCAGGCCACGGAGGCAAGGGTCCTTCAACGCCCCGGGTGCAAATGGATCTACCCCGTAAGTCCCGGTGGGAATGTCACGTGGACAGAGGGGGCTGCCGCGGGATTTCCAATCAGTAGCGGCTGATCTTCCGGCCCCAGAGAAGCTGAAGTGTGTCTGTGACCTCGAGGAGCAGCGTGTCAGAACGTGGGGACACAGGGAAGGACGTATCAGAGAAAAGGCCCGGGGCATCCTGCTAGTCCGTGCCAGGCATGTGCTGAATTTAAGGGGGGGCATAAACTACCCGGAGGACGGTCCCCGGCTGGCTTCCATCATCAGCCTCTGGGACTGGAGAGCAAGCCCCAGTTAACCGTGGCGGACTCCACCCACCTCATGCGGCCAGGTCTCCCCCCCAGCTGCCAAACCACACCACACCCTCACCCTTACTGCAGGGCAGCAAGGTAGCCATGCTTACGCAATTGTTTACGTTTCCGTACGCACTTTGGACTCCGCTTTTCCAGCCGGCAGAAACTCCATTTCAAAAACAGGATTATCATGGTGGCCAACAATTACAAAGTAGAAGCTTCCGGACATGGTCTTCAATATACAGCTCCTAATTAAATGAAAATAGCACACATTTTTAGTACTACATACTGAAAACCAAAACTGTTTAACAGAAAGTCTAGAATTCAAGTTTTTACTTAAACCCGACAGTGTAGAAGAGGAGAGACCACTAAGCTCGTCATGTTTTCCTGTACGCTGCCATAGACATTTGGCTTCGGGCCTATAGAAATCACATGTCGGTGGCATGTCCTGTAGAATCCAGTACTTTAATTTTTATACAGAAACTTGAAGACCTCGAATACAAAATCATAATGATATCCTCATGACCTGAAAGTTTGGAATATTCAGAAGCAGCTGGGCCAAACCTGGACTGGACCGGCTAGTACTGTTAGCACTAACAACGGGAAACATTCATAACGGATGCTGCAGTATGTACGCTACAAATGTAAGTGCTGCAAACGCAGGGGCCTATGCTATACCTCCGCAAGCGATAGTAATAAGAAAGGAAGACATGGGGCCCCTGGCTGGCTCAGCCCGTGGAGCTTGCGACTCCTGATGTCGGGGTCGTGAGTTCAAGCCCCATGTTGGGTGTAGAGATTACTTAAAAATAACATCTTTAAAAAAAAATAAGGAAGATATAATTTTGTATTCTAGAAAAGATGGAAGAAATCATAATCCAAAGAGAAAGACATCGGAGGCATTAATAAGTCTTAGAACTATGGCTAACAGGTTTGCTAAAGAAATAAAATGAAGAAAAAGTTGGGGGCAGCAGTCTCAGGGGAGGATCCGTGCTTCTGTGGCTTTTAGCACAATCAAAATCCGCGTGGATGGACAGGTGGGCGGAAGGATTTCTGTTTGTATTTTTAGCACAGGGTCTCTGGAATCGGACAACGCGACGTTCAGGTCTTACTCTGCCACAAACTAATAATGTGACCACAGGCACGGTCCTTAACCTCCCAAAGTCTGTTTCCTCCTGGTGGAAGGGAGAGAACGATGATAGACCCCTTTACAGCACCTCAAGGATCACACAACCCAACCCGTGAGAAGCACCGGGCGTGTCTGGCTCACGGAGGCGCTCACACATGTGATCTCGAACATGCAGGAGCAGATGCACACGGAGGTGTGCTGACTCCTGCGGCCTCCACACGCAGCAGGGATCTGCTTACCCGAGTAATACTGCCTCACGGAGTGCACAGTGACACGGGTCAGAGCCCAGGGCTCATCGAGCCACGCTGGGACTTCTGCTCATTCACACAGAACATCAGAAAATCTGAAACGTATTTCCTAATGAGTACAACCTTTTGTTAAGGAAATCAAGGCACAGCTGGCACTTTTAACCCTGGACTTGGAAGGCCCATGACGGAAGACAAGGCAGATGGGACATTCTTTTGGCACGATGAGCTCAATAGGATGTCAGACGTCATTTGGGGCAGCTGCTGGCACAGTACAGCCCGCAAACCAAATCTGGCCTTGTCCATCCTTTCGTCAATGTCTAAGGCTGCCTGTGCCCGACAGCGGAATGGCAGAGTGGGGCAGCTGCGACAGACCATCTGACCCTTTACAGAAAAAGTCTTAGGGGGAAGATGAGAAAGAGGCCCAAACAGTAAAACCGAGTAACAAACCCAAGCAGGAATGGCAGGAAAGCTCTGCAGAGCCACGAGAATCAGCAGTGATTCTCAAAAGAAAGAAATTCTCAAGGGGAAGGGGGCTGGGTGCTGGAAATGTCAACAACGCGACAATGATCTCATTAATTGCAACAGGGGTCACAGCTAGTGGGTGCCAGGGGCTTGATTTCTTCCCTGCAAACGTTGAAGCAGCAGCAGCAAACTACACACACAGAAGGAAGCTACCCCTCGCTCCTGCAGCTGCAGAGTCAGTACAGGGTGGGGAGAAACGGAAAGGGGACCGAAGAACCATAACCACATCAAGGTTATGTCACAAACTCTCCCGCTGGGCAGGACTTGAACTGCCAAGAACTTGATTTCACAGCAGCTGGAGGAACGACGGGATTCTACAGGAAAAACTGGACAGTGACTCATTTAATATTTGAGGCAAAGGGGAGAGAGACGCACTTCAGAATTCTGTGCTGTCGGATACACTCAAGTTTTGGGGGGAGGGGATGCTCTGCGTCTGCACTGCCCACTGGTGGCTGCTGTGTCTGCAAGCCGGAATCTGCAACTTCATTTAATTATAACGGCAACAGCCCCGTGCGGTTAGGGCTACCGTATTGGGCGGTGCGGCTCTCGAACAGCGATTTGAAACTTTTTTTAAGCTTTGCAACCTCTTCCCCCTTCCCTCCGTCCACAAAGCAAGTCGTACTTAGAACCACAGTATATAATACAAATAAAGCAACTGCTGTGTGTGTGTGTGTGTGTGTGTGTGTGTGTGTGTGTGCGCGCGCTCACTTTTCCCATCACCCACAACAGGGGCCCTTCAGCATCTCCAAGGACGGCTGGGTCTCCAGGTGTGGAGGCCGTGGCTACACGGAACTTGGCAATGGAGTAAACTGGGGACGGAGGAAGCGGCGAGAATCAAGGATGTTCCTGAATGCCTGACTGAGGTGACCAAGCAGAATGTCAAGGTGAGTCTATTCGCCAGGAAAGGAAATAAGGGAAGAGAGGGGGTGAAACACGTCAATTGTGAACACGTGGGGGAGGTCAGAACAGCACCCCCCCCCGACTCCCCCCCACCGCGGCCGCACCCAAACCTGGAACACCTGCGCGCTAACGTGCAGGCAGGGGGGAATTGCAGCTGCAGATACAACCGAGGGTGCTCGGTGCGCAAGACAGGGAGGGGATCCTGCACTAGCCAGGTGGGCCCAATGTCATTACCGTGATCTTTAAAAGTGGGAGGGAGGGGGCCCAAGAGAAAGGCCAGAAGGAAACACAGCTGCGGAGGGAAGGTCACGAAGATGCCACTCTGCCGGCGCGGAAGCTGCGAGAAAGGGCCAGGAGCCAGGACCGGGAGCGGCCTGCACAAATTGGAGAACACAGAGAAAGCCACTGGGCCTGGCGGCCTCCAGAAGGGGCCCGGCCCTGCGGATACCTGGATTCCCACCCCGGGAGGCCTGTGCTGGACGCTGGTGCTGCGGAGCCGTTAAGGCAATAAATGCACACCCCTCAGCTGCTGAGGATTTGCTACAGTCGCAGGAAACACGTCAAAGCTGACAAGCCCGCAGGAATGAGAAAAAAGGCAATACCCGACTGCTAGCCAAAGGTAGGTGCATCCTGGAGGGAGACTGCCGACAGGGAGCCCCTTTACACGGGACGAAGCTTGCACCGTGGAAAAGGCCCAAGGGAAGGGAGTGGGGGACCGGGTGCGGCATGGGGAGCTGCCTGGGGCAACTCGGGGATAAGAATGTAGAGAAGAACAGGGGCACCTGGGTGGCTCAGTCGGTTGAGCGTCCGACTTTGGCTCAGGTCATGATCTCACGGTTCGTGGGTTCGAGCCCCGCGTCGGGCTCTGTGCTGACAGCTCAGAGCCTGGAGCCTGTTTGAGATTCTGTGTCTCCCTCTCTCTCTCTGACCCTCCCCTCTTCACGCTGTCTCTCTCTCAGAAATAAATAAAAACATTAAAAAAAAAAAAAAAGAATGTAGAAAAGAACAGAGGCTGTGTTCTGCCCGCCCAGCATCCACCCCTAACGCGCTCACTACGGAGCGGGGCACATAGTAAGCGCTCCAGGCTTGCGGGGCGGGTGAAGCTGAAACACAGGAATGAGAGGCATGCTGCGGCTAACTAGCCTCAACGCAGATAAGAACCTTCTGAGTGTTCGAGTGCTGAGGCCCCCCTGGTCCCAGAGGCCTGACTGGAGTCTCTGGTCAGGTGATGAACCGCACCTTAGGGAGAAGCCGCAGCTGAGGCACTCGTGAAGAAACCCTCCGTGACAGGAGACTGGACTCTCACCTGGGGTAGAAACAGCAGCTGGCCCTGAGCAGCTGTTGGGACAGACCACTAAAGAAATCCACGTAGTGCTAACAAGGAGCTCTGGGCAACCTAGAACTGAAAGAGGGCGTGTATGCGATGTAAGAACTAGGGCACTAACGGGGCGCCCGGCTGGCTCAGTCGGAGGAGCGAGCGACTCTTGATATCAGGTCGTGAGTTCAAGTGCCGCACTGGGTGTAGCGATGACTTAAACCTTACTAGTTAGTGCCCCCCCAACCCCTTTTATTAGGCACATAAAAATGAGACTACAAATCTGTGAGGCTGGCATCAGAAGAGCAAAAGGGCAAAATGAATGGAAATGTGTCAAATAAGAAAAACAAAAGCCGCCTTACACTGCAATCAGGAAAAGGCAGGGGAGAAAGGTCACCGGGTACATGAGTAACAGAAGATGCAGATCTGAACTTCAATTTTCTTCGCATGATTTTCAACATTTTTTTTTTTTTGAGTGTGCCTGCACACAGGGGAGAGGCACAAGGAGAATCTTAAGCTCCCCGCCCCGTGCAGAGCCCGACCTCCAGCGTGGGGCTCGATCTCACGACCCTGGGATGATGACCTGCACCTAAAATCAAAGTCGGTCGCTGAATTGACTGAGTCACCCGGGCGTCCCCAAGAGCATGAATTTTTTTTTTTTTTTAAATAAACATTGTTTTTAGAGGTTGCCGGGTGGCTCAGTGGGTTAAGCCTCTAACTCTTGATTTGTGGCTCAGGTCACGATCTCCTGTTTTCACAGGTTCAAGCCCTGCTTCGGGCTCTGTGCTGACGGTGCAGAGCATGCTTGGGATTTTGTCTCCCTCTCTCTGCCCCTCTCCACTTGCGCTGTCTCCCTCTAAAATTAAGAACTGTGAACTGGGTTGGAAGGAATGCTCTGGAAAAAGCTGGTGGAGGAACTGAGGATCTGTAAGCTGAGGAGGGAGGGGAAGACCTTTCTGGAGGTGGGGAGTGAGAAACAGGAGCTTCCCATCAAATATAAAATAATGCACGCTGAAAAAAAAAAATGTATGCTAACAGAAAAGGGATTTGACCGGGGTGGCAAATGGCTAACCGCTGGTGAGCCGTTCTAAGTAACCGGTAGTGAGTGCCAGGATCTGGTGCTGATGTAACATGCACACAAGAAAGCTCTAGCAGGAGAGACGGCTGTGATCGATCAATCATCGAAGATCTGCGGGTTTGGGAAAGAGCAGGATACTACGTGAGTGCCACGTACTTCACTCGGGACTAGACAGACCTTCCAAATGGCTCCAGAGGCCAAACCCAGGGCTGCTCCTCTGAGGTTACATGGAAACTCCTTTGGATCAATGTTACTGAGCACTGTCTAATAGTTAAGACCGAGCTACCAGGCTGCCTGGGAGAGGACTAAACGCTTCCTAGCACAGGACGGCGCCCACGATGAATTTGCCAGCTGCAAGTGACAATAGTACTGTCGTTAACCAAACAAAACCAAACCCGGTTAGGAGAATGACCTAGTGAACGGCAAGACGAAGCACAGCCCCTGAGCTGGCCGACGCCTGCAGGCTGAAACGCGGTGTGCCCTGGCCCGGTGGCCTGTGATAAACTCAGCCGACCCGGGATTGACCAGGTCCGGCCCGGCTGCCCCTGGGGCCGGGTGGAGAGACTGGGCCGGGACCCGAAACGTCCTCTGGGGCTCCCGCCCCCTCCTCACTCTGTCTCCTACCTGCTGGGAGAAGCCCCAACGTAAACAGCTACTCAGTTCCCACCGCAGACCCGCGCTCGGCAGCCTCTATGGGAACTCCCTGGGCAATCCTCGCGAGACTCCGCGGTTGAGATCTCACGAGAAGTGGGAGGAACTTCCGGCCAGAGGACTGGGCAGCAGTGCGCGTGCGCCGTAGCTCTCCAGGCAACGGCGGTTTGGGTTGGCGGCGTCGTTGAGGGGCGGGATCAGCGCGGAGCCTGGCGAACTCTGGTCGTTCTGTTTTCTCTTGTTACCTCACTACCGGTCCCCGCCCTCCAGCTGCGTGGGAAAGTCGCGCGTGGACCGCGACCCCGCCCACCCGTGAGAACCGCAGAGGGAGGAAGTGCGTCTCTGCTAAAGTTCCTGGTTCAGAGTGAGAGGCAACGGAAAGCGTTCAGCTGTCTTGTTCTTCCCGACTGCCGCCCAGGCAGAATGGGCTCTGAAGGCAGGGATTCCCCTCTTCCTGAGCCTGCAGCTCGGGCCGACTGTGAACTCGGGCCGAGGCAGCACGGGCTGAGGGGGGCTTCGGGGAAAAGCCGGCACCCGGTGTCTCAGGTACACACACTAGCTTCCCCTCGGGGCCCGGCGGAAACTTGGCCTCTTGTTTGTTTTCGTTACAGCTCCTTCTCTCCCCCTCCTCCCTGCTTGGCCTCGTAAAGTTTCCCCGGAGGCCACTGGTCTCATTTCAGAAACTCCTGGTTCATTTGCCCACCAGGTAACCTGTAACCATTCTTTGTTCCAGTCCGCCATGCCCCCCACATTTGACGTGATGAGTCAGGATGAACTGCGAAAAAAGCTATACCAGACGTTTAAGGATCGAGGTATACTGGACACGCTCAAGGTACCCATTTTAGGCATGTCTGTTAAGTAACTTTATCTGTAACGGGAAGTCCCCTTTTAAATACATCCACGTCTTAGGTTTTAAAAATACTAGGACATAGATTGTATTGGTGAATTACATTTTTATGTTCCTGTAAAACTCTTTGTTCTGGAGCCAGGAGTCTTGAAAAACGGTTGAGTTGGAGTCCTCTTGAAAGAGCATACTCAAATAATAGGTTTACTAGGCTGACATTAAGGTAGTAGCCGGTAACTTTATAAAATGAACACATTTTAGTAAAGTTGGACTTGGTTCATAAATCTAATTTGCAAGTCCTGAATTAAGACGTGGTTTTGTAATAGTACTCACTTTTGAATGAGAGATATTGACACCATACGGGAAACATCTAAGTGTACTGAGTACCAAAGAATAATTTGGGGAATGAGAAACTTCTTCCTTGAAATGGATTGAAATGTATCAATATTTGGGCAGCAAATATTATTACACACTCTATAAACAGGGAGGAGTAAGGTTAGCTCAAATGTTTTCATTGTGTGCGTTTCAAAAGTATATTTTTTATTTAAAATGTCAAATTACGGAAAGATGAGCTTTCTGAAACATTTTCCTCCCTCGTTGTTGTGGTAACTTCAACCTTCAGATTCATCTGAAAATTAAAGAAAAACAGAGAAACGTCATCTGTGATGCAACCACTAATTAGCATAATTGTGTATCTTTTTTTTTTTCCTTAGGATTTTATTTTTAAGTAATCTCCATACCCGATGCAGGGCTCGAAACCACAAACCAGAGACCCAGAGTCCCACGCTCCAACTGAGCCAGCCAGGCACCCCTCCTTTCTAATATTACATAGTGAACATTTTCCTGTGTCCTTTAAAGTTCCTTGAAATCCTCATTGTCAGTGACCCCAGGCTTGTTTTGAACGTGTGGGTAATTTATGTAGTAGGCCCTTGTTGAAGATTTATGTTCTACCCAGGTGTGGAACATTCCTTCAATTTGTAGCTCTCATTGTTTGGCCTAGGATAGGTTAAGTGGCATTACTGACCCAAAAGCATGAGCATTTTTAAAGCTCTTGGTATATGGGTCTCTTTCTGGAATAGAAAGATTGTAATAGTGTATGTTCTACCAGCAGTTTGATACTGCTTATTTCTTCATTGTTATGATGATACTTTTTTAAACCTTGGAAAACCTTTATTTTTAAAATTTCTTTAAACATTTATTTTTGAGAGAGCAAGAGACCGTGTGAGTGGGGTGGGGGGAGAGACAGACACGGAATCCGAAACAGGCTCCAGGCTGATTTGGGGCTCAAACCCGGAAACAGCGAGATCGTGACCTGAACCGAAGTTTGACGCCCAACCACGTGAGCCACTCAGGTGCCCCAGAAAACCCTTATTTTAATATTCCTTTGATTATTAATGAGGTTGCACATATTTTCTGGATATTCCTATATTTTCTGTGGATTGGCAACTCCTGTTCCTTGCCCATTTTTCCCCCCCAGGGGTGTTTTCTTAACATATAAGAGGTCTTTTAATAGAAACTCAACCTCTGTTCCATTTTTTTTTTTTTTGCAGCAATACTTTATTTCTGTGTTCAATTTTAATTTGGTTCTAAAAATCTTGATGTTAAAATTTTAATATGGCCACATCTATTGGTAATTTCTTTTGTTGCTGATTCTCGGTTCTCCGTTCTTATTCATTAAAAGAACGAATATACACTTTTTATTTTTAAAAAGGCTTTTTTTTTTTTTTTTTTTTTACAGTTAATTCTTTGACCTACTTGGTATTAACTATAGTATATAGTGCATTAGGGTACTTTCTAATGTGGAATGGTCCTTAGAGTCTTGGCCATGACCTATTTTCTTTAATTGTACTTCTGGATTCAATTTGAGGGTGTTTTATTTTATATCTATGGTCACCATTCACTGATCTTTCCTTACCCCTAAGCACTCCTTGTTTGGGTTTTATATCAGCATTATGCTAGCCTTGTTCACTTTACAAACGTAGTATAGAAATACGGTTTCCTTTTTTGCAGCTGGCTGTTAGGTTCTGTTATTCTGTTAGTCTTACCAGTGGGAAGACAGATTTTTACTTGCTCAGTTCAGTGACTGGGGCCTGAGTGAGTTTTAATTCTTAAAATCCATTGAAATTTTTTAGTGGCCTCATTTACATACCGCTTGGGTGTTTGAAAAGAATCTGTATTTGTGGTGAAGTAGAAAGTCAATCCATTGAAATTTTTTAGTGGCCTCATTTACATACCGCTTGGGTGTTTGAAAAGAATCTGTATTTGTGGTGAAGTAGAAAGTCCGATCTCTTAAATGGAGTTTTTCAAATCTTTTTCCTTACTTTGAGCCTGCTGTGTTAACTTCTGAGGGAGTGGTACTGAGGATCCGCAAGTCTCTTCTTTCTTCCCCATCCACAGTAATTGTACTTCTATTGTAGGAACATTAACTGTGAATGGATTACCCTCTTCGCATGGGGTGCTGAAAAGCCCCCAGCCAGTTTGGGGATTCCTTCAAGCAAGTGCTGGATGGCCTGCTTTTGTGTTGGTTGAGCTGGGGATTCATCTGTAGTGCCTTTTTTTTTTTCCCCCCATCCTAATTTTACTTTCTGCTTCCATCTCTCCTCCAGATTTGATCCTATTTCAGTACTTGTGTGCAAGACACCCTAAGCCATTGTATTAATCAAGCTGGATCTAAATCTGTTAGTCAGTAGGTTACAAATCTAATGAAATCACCTCTAGATTTTACTGGTGGAGGATGCGACAGTTTCTCTCGTCCTGTCTCCATTCGTGAGTGGTGCCAGGTGGGGTGGGCATGTGTATCCTGTTCAGGATAAATGTCTGGTCTGACTGTGGGACCTGGGATGTATACTAAGTCCTGTTCTATAACGGGTAATGACATACTATTCTACCCTCAAGCTCAAGAATAGAAGTAGTACAAGAACTCCATTTGTTTCTTGTATTCTAGTCTATGAATTCATTAGGTAATATGTACTGCTGAACCTCAGGAGTCTAGATGGCACATACTTTTTTTTTTTCTTACTGTCTGTTTTGTTTTGAGAGGGATAGTACACGACTAGGGGACAGGCAGAGAGAGAGAGAGAGAGGGAGACACCGAATCTGAAGCAGGCTCCAGGCTCTGAGCTGTCAGCACAGAGCCCGACTGGGGCTCGAATCCACGAACCATGAGATCATTACCTGAGCGGAAGTCCATTGCCTAACCCACTGAGGCACCCAGGCGCCCCAAGGCGGCTTACTCTTAAGCTCAGCCCAATTGTATGTTTCCAGATGCTCTGCAAAATATAGGAGAACAAACACCCAGTAGCCTGAGTAATTTAGGGAATTTTGTTTAAACCCAAATAAATGTTAGTGTTAAAACCTTGAGAAAATGACCTACTTGAACCCTGATTTTCTCACTTAAAAAATGTGAGAAAATTCCTGTACTTTAGTGTCTTGATGTATTTACATCTGTATGCAGAAGGACATCTTAATAAGTTTTGGGGTTTACTCATTTGTCTCTTGCATATGTGATTCCCTTTGGGGAACTTTAGCCAATTTATCCAATATGTTCATATTCTCCAACAGTCCACAGAGAGGTGAGAAAGGGGCAGAATGGTCTCCTCTACTTGATAGCCTGGTAACAAACTGCTGACCTGGGCTCTGGGGGAAGTGAGGTTAGAATCTGCATGCGTTCAGGCTATCAACCAGTTTAGCTTGGAAGCTGGTGAAAAAACAAGCTTGTTTATCCAGAACCCCGTGGGCTACTTGAGTCACAGGGTAAGACCACGTATAGGGGAAGGTTTCTAACCTTGGGTCCTGGATCTAGAACTGTTCTGGAAATGAGGATTCTAATTCACGTGTCAAACCTGTATACCTGCAGCGCAGCGATTCTGCTGAAAATGTTTTTTCTCGTTTCATTTTTGTTTGAGCTAGACGCAACTCCGAAAGCAGCTGATTCAGGAATTGATGCACCCTGTCTTGAAAGGAGAGCTGCAGCCCCGGTCCGTTTCCATGGAAGGGAGCTCCCTCTTAATAGGCGCCTCTAACTCTCTAGTGGCAGATCACTTGAAGAGATGTGGCTATGAGTATTCACTTTCTGTTTTCTTCCCGGAAACTGGGTTAGCCACAGAAAAGGTAAAGTGTTAACTCTTCTGTTTTTGATTTTTCTGTTACCAGCTGCTTTCTGAGCTAATACTAAGTGCCGCATAATAGTTGAGTATTCTTTGGCTAGCTAGGTCCATTTCTTCTCCATCTTGGAGTTCACATCCTACATTCGTTCTGTAACGAAACAAAGTACTAAATTTGATGGTTTATCGTTAACCCACTCCACGGAAGCTCCATTAGTCTTGGGTAAAGTGGTGATGTGCGGAATCACTAAGTGTTTTGGAGCTGGAGTTGGTCTTCTGATCCACGAAGTCCGCTAACCCTTTTTATTTATTTATTCTTGAGAGAGAGAGAGACAGAGTGTGAGCTGGGGAGGGGCAGAGCGAGAAGGAGACACAGAATCTGAAGCAGGCCCCAGGCTCTGAGCTGGCTGTCCGCACAGAGCCCGACGCGGAGCTCCAACCCATGAACCGTGAGATCATGACCTGAGCTGAAGTCGGACGCTTAACCGACTGAGCCACCCAGGCGCCCCTGTTCTTTTTTACTTAAAGTTTATTTTTGAGAGGGAGAGAGGGTGCACATATGCACACATAGGGGAGGGACAGACCGAGAGGAAGACCGAGAATCCCAAGCAGGCTCTGTGCTGTCAGCACAAAGCCAGACATGGGGCTCAAACCCAGGAATCAAATCGTGAAATCATGACAGGAGCTGAAGTCGGATGTTAAACCAACTGAGCCACTCAGGTGCCTCTGTTTTTTTGTTTTTTTGTTTTTGTTTTTGTTTAAGCTCTGTGCCTAACATGAGGCTTGATGTCCCCACCCCAAGAACAGGAGTCACATGTTCTACAGACTGAGCCAGCTTGGTGCCCTTAGGTTTCTAATTACATTTCACCATTTTGCTGATTGCATGAGTAATGGTCAGTTACGTAGTTGTTGCAGCAATAGTTAACCCAGCTCGTATACTTAAAGATTTTTACTACAAAAATGCTGTGCAGGATATTTTCTTTTAAGGAAAACGAATTGAAAACCAATCCTACTAGTGTGCTGAAGGAAGTCCTACTAAATGTAGTAAATTGTAGTAGAAGTACAGATTAAGAATAGCTGCCCAAAATGTTTGTTTAAAACTATTTTAGGTATGCTTTTGTTAGTCATTGATGTAAAGACAGTAAAACTTGACATTTTGAAGCAGTAGTATTTTAAAAACTTGACTGCAATTGAAAGACCCTGGAATTCACGCATGTATTCGTTGCTTTATCAGATACGAGTGCTTGTAATCTGTAAGGCCTTAACCATTTCTGTTAGACCCATTATCTTTTGATGTGAAGTATTTGGAGGTTATATGTGATTGAGAAAAATATTTTATCCTTGGGACTTGAATAGGTTATCAACAGTATAAGAAAGTCCTTCAATTTTACATTGTTAGCATGATTCTTACACTACAGGAATGTCCTAATTTATCATTTAAACATCAGTGTAAAAACATGTCTACTAAATTTTTTTTCCCTAAGGTATTTACTATACAAGATCTATTACAACTCCTCAAAATCAACCCTGAATCCAGTCTCTACAAATCACTGGTAGGATTGTTTAGTTTTTATAACCTGCTTTGTCGATTATAACTGAACAGTTGAATTAAAGTAAAATATTTTGTTTTAACAGATTTCAGGATTTGATAACGAAAACAAAAAAGGTAGGAGCCTTCATATATGTAGAAAACAGGAACATTTTTGTCATGTACTTTCTCCTGTAAAACTCTGAAAGTAATCCTCTTGAGGGTTAAGAGTAAGGAATTTAATTTGAATTTGATTTTATGTGCTGTGACAATACCTCTTATTTTTTAAGATTTTCTTTCTTTCTTTTTTTTTCCCCCCTAAGTAATCTCTACACCTGACATGGGGCTTGAGCTTAAAACCCAGATATCAGGAGTGGCACCCTCCCACCAACTGAGCCAGCCTGGTGCCACCATATCTTAGCTTTTTTTTTTAAATATATTTTTAATGTTTATTTTTGAGACAGAGTGTGCACAAGCAGGGGAGGGGCAGAGAGAGGAGGAGACCCAGAATCTGAAGCAGGCTCCAGTCTCTGAGCTGTCAGCACAGAGCCCGACATGGAGCTTGAACTCCCGAACTGTGAGATCATGACCTGAGCTGAAGTCTGGTGCTTAACCAACTGAGCCACCCAGGCACCCCTCTCAGCTTTTATTATTTTTTTTTTTAATGTTTTTTTTTTTATTTATTTCTAGGAGAGAGAGAGAGAGACAGCGTGAGCAGGGGAGGGTCAGAGAGAGAGGGAGTCATAGACTGAAACAGGCTCCAGGCTCCGAGCTGGCAGTCAGCACAGAGCCCGACGCGGGGCTCGAACCCACGAACCGCGAGATCATGACCTAAGCGAAAGTCGGACGCTTAACCGACTAAGCCACCCAGGCGCCCCTCAGCTTTTAAATAAATAAAATGATGTGTCTATTTTGACCAATGTGGATCACTTCTCCACATTTCAGTCATCTTAATTGCTCTTAGATACTCAAAAAAAACCCAAACCAAAACAAACACTACAGACAGTAGCTGATAAAACCCTACAGATGATCTGAAAGCCGCTTTCTGTAGAGATCCCCACTGTTGGGAACATTTCCACACACCCAAACTAACAATGTTAAGGCTAGGTATCTTTTGTATCCTGTATCTCCCCCTGTATAAAGTACAAATCTATGAAGTACAATTTACAGATCATTAACATTTGCTTAGAAAGTGAAATACCTGGTTGGAAATAAGTATTACATAAATATTTTTAAGTGTGTATATGGGCCTGGTAAATCGCTCTAATTTTGACCCTGATAATAAGTGTCATAGAGGCCATTCCGTAACTGCATCGGGTACAGACCCTGGGCTAGACTTGACTACGGACTTTGTAACATGAAGTTGAGCTGGCAGATTGCCTGTAATATGTGTTATTCAGGTCTCCCGAATACCCTGTAATGGGACGTAACGGCCCTTTTGTGTTGGTGTGCCTCTGGAGTTTGTCTCTTGGCAGCATTGCTACCATCCCCAGCCGGGCATCCATTTAGAACTTGGCATTCAGCAAACATTTGAGTGTTTTCTCTGCCAACCATCAGACTATGACTGAATTGCCCAGTCTCTTGAGGGTCCTGTTAGCAGAGGAGGCCTAGATCGGGTCACAAGGCACTCGAGTGCCTGCGCAGTGGGCCGTCCGTACTGAAGGGCAGTGTGGTGAGTGACCCTGTATGACGTATGCCGAGGCAGTACTGTTGAATGTAAATCTCCCATAGCGACGGGAATGTCTATACTTGTGCTGTCTGATAAGGTAGCCACTAGCCATGTGTGGTATCGGACATAGGAAATGTGGCTAGTGGGACTAAAGAACTGAATTTTAAACTCCCATGGCCACACATGAAGAGTGGTCGTATCGGACAGCACACGCCTCCAGTATATGGCGGGTATCTGTAGCTTAACTTTTTTGGAAGGAAACTTGGGGCCTGCAGGGATGTTAAGAAATGGCATAACCACTTTGAGAGATGGGTGGTTGCTCCCAAAGCTAAGCAGAGTCTTACCATCCAACAGGATGCTCCTAGGTTTTTACCCAACTGATTTGAAAACTTCGGTCCCCACAGATACCCAGATAGGAATGTTTGTAGCAGCTTTATTGTGACTGCCAGAAATTGGGAGCAATCAAAATGTCCTTGAGTAAGAGAATAGGTAACCAAGCTGTAGTACATCCAGAGAGGGGAACAGTAATGAGTATTTTGATGACGGTATTCTGCACTGTCCATGCAAAAATACAAATTACCTTTAAATGTATATTCTTAGTGAAGGGGCTGGTCTGTATCATATACTAGATTTCCTGTATACAATGTTCTGAAGAAGGCAGAACTGTAGAGCCGCTGAGTGTATCAGTGGTTGCCAGGGATTGGGAGGGATGGGGGTGTGTAAGGTTGAATAGGTGAAGCACGGGGAATGTTTCAGGTGAATGTGTTTTGTGTGATAGTGGTAGGATCTATAGCACTAGATACTGGTCAGAGCCTGTAGAACCTCCTGGCACAAAGGGTGAAGCTTACCGATGCAAATTTGGGAGGTCAGGTGGCCCGGGATGGACTGCAGACAGTGACAAAACAGCCTGTTCTAAGCTCCCTGGAGGGGACGGGGAAGAAAAAACGCTGAGCTCACCGACCTCGAAAATGAAGACGGTAAGACTGAAGGCAGAAGAAACTGCACGTAGGCACTGTATTCGCAGTGATAGCTATTTCTCCTGGGGGTACTGGTTAGCAGCTCTGAAACCATTCTACATGGATGCTGGAATTGGACCATTAACAAATGGATAGGAGAGGGGAGAGCCAAGTTTCTCCCTGTTTGAGTGCGATTTTACAGATGAATGAGGTGGGGAGGCTTGAATGATCCATGTGGTAATGGTTGTTGGAGCCCTCAGTATGAGCTCAGGTTTAGCTTAATATAGTTGCAGAGGATACAGAGAGAGCTCGATAGAGCTGTGTGTCTGCACAGGTTAGTAGAACACCCACATTTCCTGGGCCTAGAGGGCCCAGAAGCCAGGACCCCCCAGTCACAGTGTGCACACCTAGTGCCCACTTTGGAACACTAAGACTTGGTTTCCAAGGCCATTCCACAGTAAGAGGAACCAGGGCTCCCTGGAGCAATGGCTGATTTTAGGACTGGGCAGGGAGTACGCAAGAGGAGCCTGGAGCGCCATCTAATGCCAGACGTGAGGAAATGCTTAATAAAGGGAAAAAAGGCGCTGTGAAGGAGCTCCCAAGGGCCAAAGCTCGAACAGTTGAACAAAGGAGACCGAAGCAGTCCTTTCCAGAGGGATATGTGCGTGAGGAGGGGACGGGAGAAGTCCTGCAGACCTGGGAACCGGTGCCCTCGTGACCCCTAGGGGGGAGGGCACCTCGCAAAAGATGATCTGCAGCGTCTCCGAGAACATTCCTGTGGCCTCTACCTTGTCCGTAGAGGCAGAGCAGATGTGCTTGAGCAGAACAGTATCGGAACGTGTGCAGAGAGAAGATGCTGGCTAGGAGAAAGGTCAGGAGACGATCAGCGGCTAAGCCAGAGAGGATGGCAAGCAAGGAATGAAAGAGCAGAGTGTACGTCTAATTAGAGGAAATAAAAACCAGATCTTAAAATCTTCAGAAAAACCGGTGGGGGGAGGGGGAGACCTTTAACTTGGTTCATGCAGAAGCTGAGTCCTTTCAACTGTGGGAAGACCCTAAAGCTTCTGACTTCTTAAAGTGTATTTATTTTTGAGAGAGAGAGACTGACACACTGAGCCTGAGCAGGAGAGGGGCAGGGAGGGAGGGAGACCCAGAATCCAAAGCAGGCTCCAGGCTCTGAGTTGTCGGTGCAGAGCCCGACGCGGGGCTGGAACTCGAGAACCTTCGAGCTACTGGAGCTGAAGTCGGTCGCCTAACCGACTGAGTTACTCATGCCCCAAACACTAAAAACTTCTAAAATAATTTATATTCCTGGTTAAAAAGAGTTTTGAGCTATTCGGAAAGATAGGGTGGAAGGAAGGAGAAGATTGCTGCCCATGTTCTCTGATCTCCATTTCCACTGATAACTACGATAAATACTTTGTTTGCCCTACCTGAATTTAGTTTGTGAATGTGCAGGTCTGTGTATAGGAGTAAAGCATGTCTACTCCTAAAATGGCATCCTGTTGTAGATCCTATTTTGCAGTGTACTTTATTCATCAACGTATCTTTTATAACTGTGGCCTCAATCTAATTATTTTAAAGACAGTGTTTAACCCCCATTGGTGGAGATTTCCTTGTTTGACTGTGTTTTGCTGGTGGACGCCGTTGGTGGGCGGAGTCCGCTGCGTGTGCCTGTGCAAGTCTAGCTGTGCACACTTACGGAGGTGGAATGACTAGGCCGGGGGTGGGCAGGTGTGTTGGGACATTAGCAAACCCCGGCGAGCCCTGCCCGGTGAAGGGGCGTGCATTTCCCCCCACTCCCCTGGCAGCACTGACCGTGCAGATGGGCCTCATTTTCTCCCGCTTCACTTGCTTGCACTTGGCAGCTACTGCGGGTTTTACAAATGGAAGGTTTGTGGCAACCCTGGGTCCAGCAAGTCCATCGGTGCCACTTTTCCAACTGTGTCACGTTTTGGTAATTCTTGCAACATTTCAAACTTGTTCATTTTATCTTTACGCGTGGGGGTCTGTGGTAGGAATCTTTGACGTCAGTAGGGTAATGGTTTTAGGGCACCGTGAACCACACCCGTATTAGATGAAGAACTTCATTGGAAATTGCTGTGTGTGCTCTCTGCTGTACCAGGTGGCTGTTGCACCCACCCACCCCCTTCCCTAGCCTCTGATGGTGTGGAATGTCGATATTTTTCAGTACATTTGTAATTGAGATAGAATAATACACAATGCAGAAATCAGAAATGCATAGCTTGATAAACTGTCAAAAAAAAAAAATACACCCAGGAAATCCCTCCCACCACCAGAACTAGAACCATACAGCGTCCCAGAAACTCCCCTTGTCTCCCGCCCGATCACCACACCTTCCCTATTACCTAGTCACAATCCCTGTTCTCCTGTCTGGCCCCGTAGATTGTTGTCTGTTTTTTACACTTTATGTACAGTGGAGTCCTACAGTGTAATTCTGAGTATGGCTTCTTTCAACATTGAGATTGATTCACACTATATTAGCATCGGTTTGTTCATATTAACTGCTATGTATTCCATTAAATGAGTGTTTGGTTACTTTTTATTCAAGCGTGATTAATGTGGTGTTCTGTTAGTTTCTCATCCATCTCCTGCCACCTCCTCTCTGGCAGCCACCAGGTCTCTGTATTTGAGTCTGTGCCTTTTTTCTGTTTCTCCATTTGTTTCTTAAATCCCACATGTCAGTTAAGTCCTGTGATAATTGTCTTTCTCTGACACAGTGCTTCGTGTTATGCCCTGCAGTTCCATCTGTGTTATTGCAAATGGCAAGATTTCATTCTTTTTTTATTTTTATTTTTAATTTTTTAAAAGTTTATTTTTGAAGGAGAGAGTGTGAGCAGGGGAGGGGCAGAGAGAGAGGCAGACACAGCATCTGAAGCAGGCTTTAGGCTCTGAGCTGTCAGCACAGAGCCTGATGCGGGGCTTGAACTCACAAACTCTGAGATCATGAGCTGAAGTCACTTAGCCACCCAGGTTTCCCGTTTTCATTCTTTTATGGCCGAGTGATCATTCCATTGTGTGTGTGTCCATGCGTGCACACACAAATACCACATATCCTTTATCCTGTCATCTTTTGACGGACACTTCCATTACTGCCATACCTTGCCCGTTGTAAATAATGCTGCTGTAAAATATAGGGGTTCATATGTCTTTTCAAATTAGTGTTTTTGTTTTCTTTGCATAAATACCCAGTAGTGGAATTCCTGGATCATATGGTAATTCCAAATCTTTTTTGAGAGTGAGCATGCGAGTACATGTGAGCAGGGGAGGGACAGAGGGAGAGAGAGAATCCCAAGCAGGCTCCCTCCACACCGAGTGTGGAGCCCAGTGGGAGGCTCGATCTCACAACTGTGAGATCATGGCCTGAGCCAAAATCAACTGAGCTACACAGGCGCTCCTAGTTTAATTTTTTGAGGAACCTCCATACTGTTTTCCACAGTGGCTGCACCAGTTTGCATTCCCACCAGCAGTGCCTGTTTCTCCACATCCTCGCCAGCATTAGTTTCTGATGTTTTTGATTTTAGCCATTCTGACAGGTGTGAGGGGATGCCTCCTTGTGGTTTTGATATGCATTTCCTTAATGAGGAGTGATGTTCAGCCTCTTTCGTGGGCTTGTTGACATTTGAATGTCTTTGGAAAAAATGTGTATTCGGGTTCTTAGCTCATTTATCAGGTTGGTTTTTTGTGTTGTATATGTCCTTTTGCTTTTGTTGACGATTTTTTTTTTTTCCTGTGCAACAGCTCTTTATTTTGTAGTTCTGATAGTTTTTGTTTTGGTTTCCTTCGGAGGTCTCCTGAGGAGACCAATCTAGAAAAATGTATTGATAGTTATGTCAGCGATATTACTGTCTATGTTTTCTTCTAGGATTTTTATGGTTTCAGTGCTCAGATTTAGGACTTTATTTCATGTTGAGCGTTTTTTTTTTTTTTTTTTTTTTTTTTTTTTTTTTTTTTTTTTTTTTTTTTTTTTTTTTTTTTTTTTTTTTTTTTTTTTTTTTTTTTTTGTATAGGGTAAGAAAAGTGGTCAGTTTTATTGTTTTGCATGTAACGGTCCAGTTTGCCCAACCCCATTTGCTGAAGAGACTGCTTTATCCCCCTGATGTGTATTCTTGCCTCCTTTGTTGTAGATTAATTGACCCCATACGCGTGGGTGTGTTTCTGGGCTAGCTCTCCTCTTCCACTCATCTGTGTGTCTGGTGTCATGTCAGCACCTTACTGTTTTGATTACGACAGCTTTGTAGCGCATCTTGCAGTCAGGAGTTGGGGTTCCTCCAGCTTTGTTCTTCCTCAAGGTGGTTTTGGCTCCTTGGGGGTCTTTTGTGGTTCCGGATGAATTTTAGTAGAGTCTTAGTTCCGTGGGAAGTGCTGTTGGTATTTTGATGGAGATTGCATTGAGGCTGTAGGGTACTTAGGGTAGTAGGGACATGTTACCCCTACTGGTTCTCTCTGTCCACGAGCACAGAATATTCTCTGCTTGTGTCGTCTTCAGTTTCTTTCATCAGTGTTGTAGAGTTTTCACAGTATAGGTCTTTCAGCTCCTTGGATGAGTTTATTTCTAGGTGTGTTGTTTTTGGTGCAGTGGTAAATGGCTTTCTTTGGCTACTTCATTATTGCTGTATTGACATGCAGCAGATTTTTGTAGGTTAATTTTGTATCTTGTGACTTTACTGAACTCATTTATCAGTGCTAGTGGGTTTTTGGTTTTTTTTTGTTTTGTTTTTTTTGGTGGCGTCTTTGGAGTTTTCTGTACATACTGTCATGTTACCTGCAAACAGTGATGGTTTTACTTCTTCGTTCCCAATTGGGATGGGTTTTTTGTCCGCTGGCTGTGGCAAGGACTGCCAGTGCCATGTCGAGTAAAAGTGGTGAGAGGGGACACCTTGTCTGTCCTCATCTTGAGGAGAAGCTCTCAGGTTTTTACCGTTGAGTAAGATCTTACTGTTTTTTTAATATGGCCTTTATTTTTAAAACTTTATTTATTTAAATTGAAGTTAGTTAACATAGTTTGTAGTATTGATTTCAGGAGTAGAACCCAGTGATTCATCGCTTGCATATGACACCTAGTGCTCATCCCAACAAGTGCCCTCCTTAATGCCCATCCCCCATTTAGCCCATCCCGCCACTCCTCTCCCCTCCAGCAACCTTCAATTCTCCGTCTTTAAGAGTCTCTTATGGTGGGGCACTTGGTGGCTCAGTCGGTTAAGCGTCCCACGCTGGATTTTGGCTAAGGTCAGGACCTTCCTGTTGTGAGATCAAGCCCCACGTTGGGCTCTGTGCTGAAGGTATGGAGCCCGCTTGGAATTCTGTCTCCCTCTCTCTGCCCCTTGCCCTGCTTGAGCCATGTCTCTCTCAAAAATAAACATTAAAAAAAAGTCTTGGGGTGCCTGGGTGGCTCGGTCAGTCGGTTGGTTAAGCATCTGACTCTTGGTTTCAGCTCCGGTCATCATCTCACAGTTTGTGAATTCGAGCCCTACATCTGGCTCTGCACTGACAGTGTGCAGCCCGCTGGGGATATTCTCTCTCTGCCCCGCTCACACTTTCTCTCTCAACATAAACTTTTAAAAAAAAGTCTCTTAAGGTTCGTCTCCCTCTGTTTTTATCTTCTTTTTCCTTCCCTTCTCCAATGTTCATTTGTTGTGTTTCTTAAATTCCACGAGTGAAATCATATGATATTTGACTCTGACTCCTTGTGCTTAGTATAATACACTCTAGTTCCATCCATGTTGTTGCACATGGCAAGATTTCATTCTTTTTGATCTCCAAGTAATATTCCATCTTAATCCATTTTATCAGTTGATGGATATATGGGCTCTTTGCATAATTTGGCTGTCGTTGAAAGCACTGCTATAAACATTGGGGTGCATGTCCCTCTATGCATCAGCATTTTTGTATCCTTTGAATAAATACCTAGTAGTGCAATTACTGGGCCATAGGGTAGTTTAATTTTTAGTTTTTTTGAGGAACCTCCCCACTGTTTTCCAGAGTGGCTGCACCAGTTTGCATTCCCACCAACATGTTTATATCCTGTTTATTTGACAGACAATTTTTTTGTGTAAACTTTGTCCATGTGTTGTCTGATTTTTCCATTTCTTTCTGACATGTAAGAGCTCTCTGATATTAGGAAAATTACTCCTCTGTCTCCATATCCTCGCAAGTATTTTTGTCTCAGTGTATCACTTGTGTTTTGACTTCATTTCATGCCATATAGGTTTCTAATTCTTAGGTTGTTAGATTGATTAATCTCCTTATGGCTTCTAGGTTTTGTGCCATGTTAGCAAAGGCCGTTCCTTAGAAATTATTCTTAAAAGATGTAGAATGTAAAAAAGGGTAATATTTGAAGACCAAGATCCTAGTAACAGGGTTGATGCAATGGTTTAAGGAAAAAAGTTACGTGGCAAAACTATATTACACGCTTTGTGTCTCGTAGGTTTTCTCCTGCAGTTTTTAAGGGAAGTGGCCGAATATCACCAGTCCCGAGCCAGCTGTGATGTGGAAACGCAGACAAGTTCAGCGTTTCCTGGCAAAGACTCACTTGGTACGTGTAGCTTTCTTTCAGAATTTTAATTGTTTCGTCTTCTCCCAAAATGAAGGAAATGAACTGACTGGCTGTGTGTGCTCCCTGCCTGGGAGGGGTGGGACCTGCGGGTGGCACAGGTGCCCGCCGCCTCCGGAAGCCTTGCAGGATGCGACCTGAGCCGCTCACTGCGCTGCGCGCTCCCCTCTCCGCAGGCCTGCGCTCTGCTCTGTGTGTGGGGTTCAACCTCTCGTACCTGGGAGGTTCTTCCCTGTGTCTCCTCTCACTTGAGTTCACAGCCACTGAGTGAGGAGATCCTTGACCACTTGCACGGCAGAGAACTAGAGAAGTCAGCGGCGTAGCGGTTGTTTAGAGTGGGGCAGACGAGGGTGCCCAGAGGCAGCACAACTTGGAAACAGTCTGGGTCAGAAGTGGTGGTGGACTCCACGTTTTGTTTTTTTAATTAAAAAAAAAAATGTTTTTGTCTGAGAGCCAGAGCATGAGCAGGGGAGAGGCAGAGAGACAGAGGGAGACACAGTCCAAAGCAGGCTCCAGGCTCCCAGCTGTCCACACAGAACCCGACACGGGGCTTAAACTCACAAACCGGTAGATCACGACCTAAGCTGAAGTCAGATGTCTAACCGCCTGAGCCACCCAGGCGCCCCTAGAGTCCAGATTTTCTAAAATTATGTGATGAATCCATTTCTTTGGCCCCTCCGGAGTCTTTTTTTTTTTTTTTTTTTTTTTTTTCTTTTGGGGATTTTTTTTTTTTTTTTTTTTTTTTGCCTTTTGGAAATTTTTTTTTTTTTTTTTTTACAAATAGTTTATTGTCAAATTAGTTTCCACATAACACCCAGTGCTCATCCCCACAAGTGCCCTCCTCCATGCCCATCCTCCCTCCCCCCCACATCCATCAGTCCTCAGTTTTTGTCAGCATTCAAGAGTCTCTCATGGTTTGCCTCTCTCCCTCTCCCCCACCATTTCCCCCTTCTTCTCCCCCTTGTTCCTCCGTCAAGTTCCTCCTAATCCTCCTGTACGTGCAAACATATGATATTTGTCCTTCTCTGCCTGACTTATTTTGCTCAGCATAACACCCTCAAGGTCCATCCATGTTGCTACACGTGGCCAGATTTCATTGTTTCTCATTGCCATGGAGTATTCCATGGTATAGATAAACCACATCCTCTTGATCCATTCGTCCGTGGATGGACACTTAGGCTCTTTCCATGTTTTAGCTATTGTTGAGAGTGCTGCTATGAACTGGCCCCTCCTGAGTCTTAAGGAGTAATAGTACTTCTAACCTGTAAGAAGAGAAGTCTATAATTTTTAGCCCTTTCTTTTGGCCTAGGTTTTATTCCATTGGGAACACGGTATATGTTTGCTCTAGAGAGGTGCTGTCTGGTACTAGGAGCCACGTGTGTAATTGTTAAGTTTCTAGTAGCCATGGGATGGGGGAGGGAAGGTGAATTTAATATATTTAACCCACTAGGTCCAAAATATGCCAACATGTAATCAATATAAAAAACATTAATGAGGTTGTTTTACGTAAAATTTCTATACTCGGTCCTTGAAACCTGGTGTGTCTTTTACACTTAGAGCACCTCTCTGTTCAAACTGATCCCATTTCATCTCCTCAGTGGCCACCTGTGGCCAGAGAGTCCTGTAGTGGACAGCATTTAGAAAATCCAGAAAAGTACATGGAAAACCTGTTGAAAGTGCTCCGAAGAGATGGACACAGCCGCTGTTTCCAGGGCATCCTTCCTGGTGGCGTTGGTGCTCCCGGTGACGGTGCTCCCGGTGACTGAGCTGCTCCTGAAGGTCCAGCTGTGCAGGGGGCCTCACGGGTCACATTGCTGCGCGGCTATTAGGGGACTGGGGGCCTGCTGGAGAGAGCCCTGGAGAGAGATGCCGTCAGCACACCTGCCTGCAATTCCAGCCGGGCCCTTACACGCTTGCTCAGCCCTCTGGGACTCCCTTGAACTGTATGGGCTTCTGCTTCCTTCTCTGTAAAGCAGAGGAGTTGAAATACGTGATCTGTGATTTATTTTCAGGTCTGTGTTTTGAACGTATGAGTGGACTTGAACCAAAGTCCGATAAAAAGCACTCTCTGCCTTGGCACTTCGGGACTGGCAAGAGAGGCCAGTGTTTTCTGACTTAAATTGCGCTCTTTGCTTTCTTTTCCCCTGACGCTGGATGATGAAAATCTCCAACGTAAGGAAGGGTTGAAACCATTGTACAGTGAACACTCGTATCCCCAGACTTTCCCGGGAAATTTGTATTCTACTTGCCTGATCGCTTATCGGTCCTATCCATGAATCCATCATCATTTTATGGTGTTTCAGAGTAAATTGCAGATGTCCCTACTGTGTCCCCTAAATATACTCTTGGCTTTTGAACAGAACTCCGGCCTCTTGCTCACCTGACTGCAGTTCCCTATCCTAATTCCCTGTGTTTTTTTTGTTTTTTGTTTTACAAATAGTTTGTCAAATTAGTTTCCACATAACACCCAGTGCTCATCCCCACAAGTGCCCTCCTCCATGCCCATCCCCCCACCCCCCCACATCCATCAGTCCTCAGTTTTTGTCAGCATTCAAGAGTCTCTCATGGTTTGCCTCTCTCCCTTTCCCCCACCATTTCCCCCCTTCTTCTCCCGATTGGTCCTCTGTTAAGTTCCTCTCCCTGTGTTTTTTTTTTTTTAACAGCAGAGAAGCTTCAGCTTATTGACGATCAATTTGCAGGTGCTTATCCTCAGCGTCCAAAATTAGAATCCTTAGAAATAAAGTTAAGTGAATATAAGAGAGAAATCGAACAGCAGTTAAGGGCAGAAATGTGTCAAAAGGTAAGCTGTATCTTGTTGCTGTGCTTGTCTTGAATGTCTTTTTTTATTTTGAGAGTGACTATAAGCAGGGGAGGGGCAGAGAGAGGGTGAGAGAGAATCCGAAGCAGGCTCCAGGCTGTCAGCACAGAGCCTGACTCGGGGCTTGAGCTCACGAACCCTGAGATCATGAACTGGGCCAAAATCAAGAGGCAGATGTTTAACCAATTGAGCCACCCACACATCCCAGGATGTCCTACTCTTCGGTATAAGGGGGAAATCTATAGAATCTTTACTAATGAATGTGATAATCCTACTCTTCGGTATAAGGGGGAAATCTATAGAATCTTTACTAATGAATGTGATAAACTGTTGCACGTGTGATTTTTTTCTTTGTAACCAATGTCATTTTTTATGCCTTTCAAGTGAATCCTGAGGTACAGGAATGAGACGAAACTAAAGAGGAGTTAAACTAAATCTGTTTCGAGCATTAGTGTTAAACCTAACCATGAAGAGAAAAGTTATTTTTTTAATATAGTTTTGGTATTTACAAGAATTGCTGTTCAATTGGCAGCTCAAGTATTTTAAAGATACTGAAATAGCAAAAATTAAAATGGAAGAGAAAACAAAGTTGGAGAGGGAATTCGCTGCATTCCGGAACGAATTGGAGAGAGCCTGTCAAGCAAAATCTGAATCCCTCATTTCTCGGGAAAAGTTGGCTCTTGAGAGAATTCAGAAGCACCAAGAGGTAAGATTTTAAAACTACTTATTGGGTGTCTGTTTCCTTTGGCTGTTGGTAGATGGGCTCCAGGCCCTAGAGTGGGTTGGGACAGTCAGGAAGCCAAGACCAAGCCCTACGTTAACTAGCATATTCATTTAGTTCACTGGTCCTCAGAAGGCTCTGGAGAAGGTGGCCGTCCTCATGCCAAGCATCATGTCGTTATTCCACCACCTGCAGTGCCCTCCTTGGACCCCTGATGAAACCCTCTTGGCCTTAAAAATCCAGCTTGTGGGTTCCTGCCCTGTGATGGCTTCCCTGACTGTCACTTACTCAGGTGCTGTTCCTGCTACAGAGCCTTGATGTATTTTGGTTATAAAATCATCATGTCGTAGGGTGGTCATTTCTTTCTCCCTGACTAAACTGCGGTTTGTAAAGATGGAAACCATAGCTGATTCTCTTTCTCGCGCCCCGAGTGTGCTCTGGCATAGGCCAGGTACTCCCTGAATCCTTGCCCAGCGACCACTCGGATCGAGGTGTGGCCCGTTCATTCAGCTTGCTCATGCTGAGTCAGAATGACTGGTGAACTGAGACTTTCAGACAGGCACAGAACCAGGGGAATTGTATTCTTTTGAAGTTCTGTTGCTACATGCGCATTTTGTGTCCTTTTCTTCTTGCTGAAGCACCTGTCCAAGTGTTAAGTCTCTGAGAGATGTCCATTAGGTAGAATAAATAGACCTGGGATGCTAGGAATATAGGGTAATGGAGTTGAGCAATTATTGAAGGAGGGAATGTGTGTTTGGGTAACTAAATAGGCAAAAAGAGTACCTTGAATCAGAAGTTCTTGAAAGTGATGTTGTAACCCTAAATGTCTGTAGTTTGCTCTCTGGAGGTGAGGAAACAGTATGCTAGTTCAGATCTGTTGTGTCGTCTTGAGCTTGCTTGCTGAAAACCAATGCTTTCGTACACAGATGGAAACCAAAGAGATTTATGCGCAGAGACAGCTTCTACTAAAAGATATAGATGTGCTAAGAGGCAGAGAAGCAGAGCTGAAGCAAAGAATCGAAGCTTTTGAATTGTGAGTAACGGGTATTCATTTTGGATATTTAGAATGAAGAAGATGCAAAAGAACTAAATAGGGGTCTTAATAGTCTGATGTCAGTTGCCAAGCCGAGTTTTCGGTTGTAAAGGTGATAACACCTAGTTTTAAAAGGCACAAGTCAAGAGAAAGACCAGGGTTTCACTTATGAAATATTAGGCATTAGGATGAGAAGCAGAACGAGATTGCCATCATCAGGCTCCAGTAAGACCAGACACCTGATTTGAAGAAGATGCTAATGCTTGGACAAGTCCCATGTTTCTCATTTACTTCCAGTCGTTCAGATCTAGTAGCTGCACGTGCGTATCATTCACTGAATTCCAGATACCCAGAACTGCTGCCCTCACCTGCTTTGCTGTCAGAAGAGAGGAAGGAGGGTGGCTCCAACTTGACTCATACTGGGTGAAACTTTGAGAGAGCACGAGTTGGGGAGGGGCAGAGAGAGAAGGAGACCCAGAATCTGAAGCAGGCTCCAGGCTCCGAGCTGTCAGCCCAGAGCCCGACGTGGGGCTGGAACTCGTGAACTGCACGATGATGACTTGAGCTGAAGTCAGACGCTTAACCGACTGAACCCCCCAGGCGCCCCTGGGTGAAACTGCTTCTCCTGGGGGTGGGGGTGGGGTGTGTGTATGTGTGTGTGTGTGTGTGTGTGTGTGTGTGTTCCTTTCACCAAGTGCTCACAGGTGTATCGTCCTTCAAATCTTGCCTGGGATTAAGAGCAAGCTCACCAGTCTATAGTTGGTGGAATTCAGCTTTCTTTCCCATTTGGGATCTTGACACTCGTAGATGCTCCAGGAATTCTATTTAAGAGTTTGTCTCTGTATTAATGTGGTTTTTTGTTTTTTTTTTTTCATTTATGTAGGTTCTGTTCATTTGATTTCTTCTGCCTACCTTTGATAATGTGAGAGAAAAGGGACAAAATTTGGGCAGATTCTGGATTATGTAATCACTTCTTTACCTCCACTTGCCCTGCTTCTCCCTTCTAAGTGTATTAAACGAAGGAAATGTACATACTCCTCCTTGGCTTTACAGATGAGACAGCAGAGGGAGCTCTGAACAAAGCCTCTATCGTTGGCTGGAACCCTCACATCCCTGTGCTTTGGTCTAAGTTGCCTGTGAACCTGATTCCTGGCTCTGGAATTGGTTTTGTAGGTGATTGAAGGTATCCCCATGAAAAGCATGCCATTCTTGGGATTTGGAAGTTCTGATGGACCCATCTTTTGTTGTAGGCATCTTTAGTTGATGGATTATTAAATGCCGAAAATGAATCTTCTAATTCTTAGGGGCTGATCAGTTAGGTCTCACAGTTAGAAATAGTGTTCTAGAAGAAACAAACACTTAAGTTACACTAACGTTGGCTTTGTAGCTTTGTAACTAAAACCATTCTTTCACCCCTCAATTGATTATGGCTGTTTCTCCCCTGTACCCCTTGCTTGGTTGTGGGTTCTCTTCCGTAAATGTAGAAAAGTCAGAAACCGCTTTGGTCTTGATACAGTCACACTCCCCTGAGCCAGGTACCGCCATAGAAGGCTAGTCGATGAACTGAGTTGGTTCATAAAGTCGATGGGCTTCTGGCTCCTTCGGTTCACTTCTCAGCAGTGAAGCCCTGTTACTCTGTGGAGCTAAAACACATGGTGTTTTTTCCCTCTAAATTTGTTACTTCCATGTTATGATTTTCTTATGTGCTTTCTTTCCCTTTTTTCGCCAATTTCAGGGCTCAGAGGCTACAAGAAGAAAAAAATAAAAGCACAACTGACGCACTTAGGAAACGGGAGCTGAATGTCAAGAGTATTGAGGAGACCTATGACCAAAGGCTCAAGAATGAGCTTCTCAAGTAATTGATTGCTTGTCATTGTTAATTAATCGTGTGTTTGAATTAAGTTGCTAGAAACATGGCAACACTGAGGAAGTAGATAGGGCTAACAGTTGAAGGCAAAATTGGGTGTTGAAAAAAATCTGTTTTCATTGGTTGTCCAGCCTTTCCCGTGCGTATTTAAGATGGGTTTAAAAAGGCACATACAGAGAATAGCATCCTGTGCTCATTTAAAAAAAAAATTTTTTTTAATTTATTTTTGAGAGAGGGAGACCGAGCACAAGCAGGAGGAGGAGCAGAGAGAGAGGGAGACACAGAATCCGAAGCAGCTCCAGGGTCCGAGCTGTCAGCACAGGGCTCGAGCGCACGAACAGTGAGATCATGACCTGAGTCGAAGTCGGACGCTTAACCGACTGAGCCACCCAGGCGCTCTCATTCTTTCTTGTAGCTTTTCTGACACTTCCTGAAGGCCTGTGGTTTGCTTTAATTTGTAGGGCACTTTATAACTTGTCAGTTTGCACATTTGAGAAGTTATAACATTGAAATTAAAATCACTTTCATTTTTTAAAAATACTACTTTTCAGAGAGAGAGACAGTGTGAGCAGGGGAGGGGCACAGGGAGAGGGAGACACAGAATCCGAAGCAGGCTCCAGGCTCTGTCAGCAGAGCCAGACACAGGGCTCAAACTCGTGAACCACGAGACCATGACGTGGGCTAAAGTCAGACGCTCAACCACCTGAGCCACCCAGGCACCCCTGGAGGTTATTGTTTAAACAAAATCTGTTAAAAAAAGAAAAGTAGCACCGTTGTCATTGTATCAGTTTTGAAATGATGGATTTTGTGTACATATCTTACGTCCACTCCTCTGTCTATTGGCCATACTAGTGAACACTGAAGGAGCTCTAGTTAAACGGTGAGGAATAAATGAAAAATGTGTATGTGAACTTGGCACAGCCATGGATACAGCGAACTGTTGGGTATCTTTGGTCTGGCTTTGGGCGTCCTCACGTGGCTTCAAGTGTTGAAGGTGGGAGGACCTCCCGGGAGTGCCTCTCTCTGCTTTCTCTGCCCTCTGAACCGGAAGGTCAGCTGGTAGCGGCCGACGGGGGTGCCTGAAGCCCCACGAGATGTGCCTTCGGGCGTCCCTCGTCGAGACCGGATGCTATGGGCAGTTGGCTCTCAGGACGGTTCCTAGCCCCTAAGGGCCAAAGTTCTCCCCTTAGGGAGGGGAGGAGGGACAGGTGAATTGCAAGTGACCGGCTTGATCATCAAGTTTAGAGTTTAGGTTTAGAGTTTGTCGTGCACACTGGAAGTTTCTCTTCATTTCCTTCCTTGTGTCGGTCGAGACCAACGGAGAAATAGTTAACTCTCGGTGACCTCACAACATCAGGACCCTTCGTTTTGTGTGATTGAGTCTGGGGCCCGAATTCGCAGGATCGCAGCAAAATTTTACGGACCTTTCACGTTCAGAATTCAGATCGCTGGCTTTTGTCTTGAGGGAGCCTGAGGTTTCCGCGTGGTCACGTTCGGTGCCGTTCGATGCCCCGGCAGCACAGCGGCATAGATAAGCTCTTGTACTGACAGCAGTCCGTCCGGGAGAGTGACAGGAGCTCAGGTTTCGTTTTTCTGACTTGCAGGTATCAACTGGAGCTCAAGGACGACTATATCGCTAGAGCTAACAAGCTGATAGAAGATGAGAGGAAGAATAAAGGTGACTCTGGGGGCAAGCCTTATTCCACACTGACGTAGCCCGTTAGCTTCCTAGTTCCTGTTCCATATTCTAAAAAAGCCATCACTTAATCTTCGTGTTACTGCAGAAAGTAGACGTTTTTTGTTAATTTTACAAAATAAAAAAATACTGTTTTTTACTACATTTTTGTGAACCTTCACGTTTAACCTTTTGTATATTCGCGAAGGTTAATGATTTATCAGCAGGATTTTATCCAACTTGATTTCAGCGTATTTTGATAGATGTGATTGTCAAGAAGGTTGCAGCCACTTTCTGTCATCCGGTAAATACTACTCTTAATCATGAGACACTTCATTTTTTACTTCAGGAAAATTTTAACTTCTCTGTCCCTATGATTTAGTTTACTTCTTTTACTTCTAATGTATTTTCATGCTTCGTGATAATTTCACTTGACACAGAATCTTTTTTTTTTTTTTTTTTTAAGTTTTTTATTTTGAGAGAGAGAGAGGAGAGGGAGAGAGAATCCCAAGTAGGGTCCACACCATCAGTGTAGAGACCGCTGTGGGAATCAAACTCCTGGAACTGTGAGATCATGATCTGACCGGAAACCACGAGTCAGAGGCTTAACCACCTGAGTGACCCAGGCGCCCCTCCTTGACATATCATCTCTTAAACTCTTATGTACATTAGCCTGAGAGTAGGAAAGTTGGATAATTTTTTTAGTCTTTGAGATATTTGACACTTTAATATAGTTCTAGGAAGTTGTTGATGAGATGAAGTTAAACTTGTGTTGGCATTTTCACACGGTCTCTCAGGAGGGAACCAGGGCTAGGGACTGGATGCTGACTGGCCAGGTCACCCAGGGTATGTCTGCTCCTCGGTAGCTAGCTCGTGGAGGCTGATAACTTCTTATGTGTCCGTACTGTCACGTATCCAGCAGGTTAGGGTTTCGATGATCCGTCTCCATAGACCATGGTGGATGTAGTGAAAATGACAAAAGAGTAAGTACAGAATTGCAACAGACAAATCTCTGTCTTTAAGGACATTCCGACCTGTCAGTGTGCAGGCCCTGTGCTCAGAGTCGATGTGTAAGTGGTGACTGGTGGGCAGCAGGATGAGGCTTGCCACCTATTTGACCATTACAGTGACTTCCCATCACGTGATGAGTGACGGGGCTAATTTCCTACTTGCCTGCCGGTCTGTTTTGACCTTGACATCTGCTGTTTAGATAATGAAATAATGGTCATAAGGCTGACATACTGGCCATAAATTATTAAATGACTTGTGTATTCACTAGGAAGACTCCATGATGCTAATTGGTTGACTCTTTCAGAAAAAACTATCCATTTGCAAGAGGAGCTCAGAGCTATTAATTCAAAAAAAGAAGAACTCAGTCAGTCTGTAAATCGCATCAAAGAGCTTGAGGTAAGTCTGAAGTCTTGTGTTTTGAAATTGACCTTAGACCGTATCTGCGACTTGCGCTCTGGTCTGACTCGATTTACCCTGCATTACCTTCTGGATGTGTTGGGACTTGTTACCGTGTGACTAACGGGGACAGCTGCGCTTGCGTTCGCTTGGTAGTTCTTCCTTTCCATCTCGGTCTCCTGGGGAAGCACAGGAAGAGGAGGTGTGTTGGGGCCCAGATTCCTGCCTGAGTCATGTGTCTCTCCCTTCCTGCCTGTGTGCCTCTGGGCAAGCTCTGTGACCCCACACTCATCCGTAGACCCTGGGACGTTGCCGCTGTGCCATGGCTGTGGAGGGAGTTTGGTGAGCTGAGGCCTGTGCGTAGCACGCGGCTTGTACACACTAGCTTCTCCCTCAGCCTCTTCCTTCCCATCGAGGGCAGGTAAAAATTCCTCTCATGGTGTCAGGATCTCACAGCCTAAAACAAGATGAGACGCACTTTGCACATGCCACTGTCACTTGACTTGTATTAATTTGTTCGCGGGGCGCCTGGGTGGCTCAGTCGGTTGAGCGTCCAACTTTGTGTCAGGTCATGATCTCATGGTTCATGTGTTCGAGCCCCACATCGGGCTCTGTGCGGACAGCTTGGAACCTGGAGCCTCCTTCCGATTCTGTGTGTCCTTTTCTCTCTCAAAATAAAATAAACGTTAAAAAAAGAAACTTGCGTGCTATCTGAAGGATAGAGCTGGAACGTTAGGTACTAAAATTTTATGCACAGAACATATTTTTGTAGCATATTTTTGTAGCATTTTATGCACGGAACATGTTTTGTAAGGACTGACTTAGAGAACTCTGTAGGCTTCTGTAACCACACTTGAGCTATATTTGTACTAAGAAGAGGAAAGCGCCCCACAGCGCGTTAGTGAGATCTCCCCCTTTTATATTTAAGAAATGCTGCAATCTGGGGTCGCTTTTTTGGGCCTTTAGTTGCGTCTGGAAAATGGGGCTCCTCAGAAGCACCAGCTCGGTAGGGGCGGCCTGTGCACAGGTGCAGCCGGATGCGCTCCCTCCTGCCCCAGCACTCGGGCCAAGGGTGACTTCTGTTGTTGTGGTTCAGGTCTCCTTGCAGAGAAACAGACTTGGGTCAGAGGACCGTCATTAAATCGTGGCGCCCAGCCTCAGGCCACCTGGCGGCCTTTACCTAGGGCTGTAAAGTCCCCGCGCGCACACCGGTGTTTCTGTTCCATTTCCAGCTTGAGTTAGAGTCGGTCAGAGCCCAGTCTTTGGCAATAACCAAGCAAAACCGCCTGCTGAACGAAAAGGTGAAAGAGATGAGTGACTATTCACTACTGAAAGAAGGGAAACTGGAGCTTCAGGCGCAAAATAAGTTACTTAAGCAACACCTGGACGAGATCAGAAACCAGAACTTGCGTCTCCTAAGCCGTAAGTCTTTTTGTTTTATTTCCTGATTGGCCTGGCTTTGTGATGGATGCTGGCTCAGTATTCAGGAACTGCTTGTTCTGTAAGGGAGGCTTCAATTGGGAAGATTTGATAAAATTATGATTCTTGGGTTGAAGGTACTTTCTTTTCACTTGCTACCGTGAAATCGTGTCACCGAGAAGAGGAAGTTTTAAACTGTATAAATGTGCCTCTCTGGCCAGTCCTTGGCTCCCCTTCCCTCACTGCGGGGCGGGTTTGGCCAGTGGGGACACACTTCAGGGAGTGTGTGGAGGGAGGGAAGAGTGAGGTCCGGGAGGCTGTGATCCTTCCCCAGCTCCTCTCAACGCGGTAGCCGGGCCCGGGCCTCTCAGCACTCTGCGTGCTGACGCTCCCCACGTGTGGGAGTCGCTCCCTGCCTGTGCCTCCAGGCCCGGGCCCGAGGAACGGTGACAGCAGGGCGCCGGTGCTAGCCTGGGGAACTGCACCATCCGTTGTGGCTACCCGATGTGAGTTTCTTTATAAAGGGTCTTCTGATGACCCAAATTGGGGACACCATCTGCTTTCTACTTGGACACCCTGAGTGCTGCCAACACATGCACAGGTCGAATTGCACCTCAGGACGGTTGTTGGCAGGGTCAGACACGGGTTTGTCCTGTGCCTTCTGTGCAGGGCGGTGGCCTTTCACGTTAATTTCCGGATTTGAAAGAATTTTTACTGGGAGTAGAAGCCTGGAGAGTCATAAACCGTACGATCACGTCTATTAGATTTTTTTGTTCTGAAGCGCCTGGGTGGCTCAGTCGGTTAAGCGACTCTTGATTTCAGCTCAGGTCACGATCTTGTAGTTCGTGAGTTCGAGCCCCACATCAGGCTCTGTGGTGACAGTGCGGAGCCTGTTTGGCATTCTCAGTTTCTCCCTCCCATGCATGTGCATGCGTGCTCTCGCTGTCTCGTGCTCTCAAAATAAGTAAAATAAACTTTAAAAATTTTTTAAAAAGTAATCCTTCGGTTCTGAAGTTAGTCAAGATTGCCCTTAGTCCACTTAATACATTTAATATTAATTGTGTAAAAGAAAGGGGAAAACAACGTAAAGCGTCTTGAGCCACTCTCATTAGGTGAACTGAGAAAATGTAACGTTGATGACGAGCAGGCTCCCCCCCCCCACTGTCACAGACCTGTCTCAGCCATCTCCAGAGCTGGCGGCTTTTCAGAAAGAACTAAAGAAAGCAGAAAACGTTATCGCGTTCGAGCACAAGGAGTTCGAGGCGCACAAGCAGGCCCTGCAGAAGCAGCTGCAAAGCGAGGTGAGTGTTGCCCTGCACTGCCCGCACCCCCTGGGCGGCAGGGCAGGTGGCTCCGTGGGCCTGGAGAGACTGGGTGTTCGCCACGGCGGCATCAATCCAACAGGACGGCGTCAGAAACGGGCCCCCGGTGTGCTCATTCCTCCCCCGTGTTCCTTCTCCTCTGAGAAGGCTCTCGAGCGATCGTGTGGCCTTAGATCCTGATAGTAATAAAACCGAGAGGAAAGTCACCTCCCCTGAACACAAAAGGTCCGAGTCCTGGCCGTGCCCACCGGTCACAGTAGCTCTTGATTCTCCCCCCTGTGACTCAACAATGACGACTCTCTCTTTCTGATGCCTGCCTCCTGCCAGTTGTGCGAGACCAGAGACAGAGGAGCTGGAGAACGTGTTAGTGGGTTCTGTCGTTGTTGCGTGGGCGCCCCGGGGGTGGTGGGTGTCAGGCTGCTGGGAGTTGGCAGAACCGACCAAGAAAATGAGCCGGTGAGAGAATTGTTGCTTTTGAAGTAAGCCGTGTGATTTTTCTTTTTTTTTGGACATAAATTTTTAATACCTTTGGGTAGTAAATACCAAAGAGTGCAATGACTGGGTCATATGGTGACAGGATGTTAGGCTTTGTAAGGAAGTGCCAAAGTGTTTTCCAATGTGGCTGCACTGCTTTACACCCACACCAGCAAGGAAGGAGAGGGTTCCTGTTGCTCCACAAGCTCAACATTTGGTGGTGTGTTATGAATGTTAGTTGTTCTAATAGGTGCGCACTGGTATCTCGTTTTAATTTGCAATTCTCTAAGGATAAATTAGGAGCATCTTTTCCTGTATGCACCTGCTTTCTGAATTGTGCATTTGATGAGGTATCTTTCCAGATCTTCTCCCTTTCCTCCCCAGTTTTTATTTATTTTATTTATTTTACAAATAGTTTATTGTCAAATTAGTTTCCACATAACACTCAGTGCTCATCCCCACAAGTGCCCTCCTCCATGCCCATCCCCCCCCCCCCACATCCATCAGTCCTCAGTTTTTGTCAGCATTCAAGAGACTCTCATGGTTTGCCTCTCTCCCTTTCCCCCACCATTTCTGCCCTTCTTCTCCCCCTTGTTCTTCCGTCAAGTTCCTCCTAATCCTCCTGTACGTGCAAACATATGATATTTGTCCTTCTCTGCCTGACTTATTTCGCTCAGCATAACACCCTCAAGGTCCATCCATGTTGCTACGCATGGCCAGATTTCATTGTTTCTCATTGCCATGTAGTATTCCATGGTATAGATAAACCACATCTTCTTGATCCATTCATCTGTTGATGGACACTTATGCTCTTTCCATGTTTTAGCTATTCCGTGTGATTTGTTTTTCATTGATTTATTTTCTTCCTCTGAATCTTTGCAGATTGAACATTCTGCACAGCTGAAGGCCCAGATACTTGACTACGACGACTCAGTAAAGAGGTTAACTATACAGGTTGCTGACTTGAAATTGCAGCTGAAACAAACCCAGACAGGTTAGACACATTCTGAACCTGTGTGTGTGTGTGTGTGTGTGTGAGAGAGAGAGAGAGAGAGAGAGAGAGAGACTGCAAGAGAGCAGTTTCTGATGGTTATGAAAACGTCATGATGACTATTGAGTGAAGTTGAAGTTCTCATAGTAGGAAAAGCTATAGAAATAGGTGTCCCCTTAGAAAGGAAAACTCCTGTCTTGGGCATCTGGGGGGCTCAGTTGGTTTAGTGTTTGACTTCAGCTCGGCTCATGGTCTTGCGGTTCTTGGGTTTGAGCCTCACATCGGGCTCTGTGCTGACAGCTAGCTCAGAGCCTGGACCCTGCTTCAGCTTCTGTGTCTCCCTCTCTCTCTGCCCCTCCCCAACTTGTGCTCGCTCGCTCTCTCAAAAATCGATAAACTTTAAAAAATTTTTTAAAAAAGTAAAACTGTTTTAGGAATACCAACGAGGCCATCAGCTCAGGTGACCTGCTCTCATGGATGCCCCACAGCTTGGGGACAGCCTCCTGCCCCGAGTAGGAAAGGAGTGGTAGTGACACAGGAGTCCCCACATTCACCCTGAACCGAGGCTGTCCTTTTTGTTCCCCTGATACTAAGACCAGCTGATGCTTCAGTGGGTTGACATGTTCCCTGGCAGTGAGCGTGTGCGACAAGCAGGGGGCCAAGCAAACAGCACTGCTGCTAGCGGGATCGGAAAACGGTCTCGGTTTTCGGCTCCCAGTTTTGAACTTGTCCTTTGACCTTGGGCACAGTCCTTCAAACTTCCCTGGGCCTCAGTTGCCGCCTCCATAACAGGGCCTATAATACCTGCCGTATCTCGTGACTGGAGGGGACAGTGCCTGGGACACCGCACGCTGCAGGAATGGTGACTGCCTTCGTCGTGTTCCTCGGTGTCACTGCCACACTGCTGTGTGCCCCTTCCTACCTCCTGATGCCTCCTAACAAGGGCACCGCAGCTTACCTTCCTTCTTGAGCTACTTTGCAGCACCAAGCCGGTTTCTCCGTGTTGGCGGCTGACGTGGGTTCTCGGTTCCTGGTTCTGAACCTTCCTCAGTTCTGCCTGCGCTCTGTCCTTTCTGGCCCTTGTCCCTTCTCCGCACCCTGGTTCCCTGTGGGCGCACTTCTGCCCTCCTCGGTCCTCAGCTTCTCTCGGGAGTTCTGTCAGCCGAACACCCCAGCGGGACTTCCTGTGACTTCCTATCCCGGAAAATAGTTGAAGAAGGCGGAACCTTTTGAACATGGGCACCGCCCGTGGCCAGCCCCTGCCATACAGGGGGCAGCGTCCCCGGCTGGCAGCATGGTGCTGGGAAATATGGGTGGCGCCAGGCCATGCTCCCCGCGTGCGCCAGACTGTAAGTGTACGCCCCCCCCCCCCCCGCCGTCCCCTCCTATCATCACCCCCGCCACCACCATAGTAGGACGGGAGCAGTGCATGAGCGCCGCCTGCAGCCCTGTACTGACTGTGGCTCCTCGTTCCCTGATGGGAAACTCGGGCTGTGCGCCAGGGCTTCTGGGTTTCGCCGCTACCCTGGAGGTTCTGGGTGGCGTCCCGCAGCGACGCTCCTTCGCGATTTTGTGATCGGATGTCAGAATTTCCACGCCAGGTGGAATAAAGATTGTAGATGGGTCGATGTCCGCGCACGCCAAGTTCCACAACCAGATGAATGGAGGCCTGGTTGGGCTTTGCCGGCCTATAAATGAAGAGTGCGCTTTCTGTTTTCAGAGCTTTTTAGATTTCAGGGTTGTGCATCACGGACTGTGAGACAACCCGGGTTAGGAAAGAAAGCCCGTGAAGCCGCAGCGGTACAGGCAGGCTCTCCCTAAACGTTAGCTGGGACTGCACCTTCAGAAACCGTTGAACGTGCACGTTTGCCCTTCGGGTTTTCATCTGTGCGAAGTACTGCTCTCGGTCTCCTCTAACTCTTTCGTCCACCTTTTCCCGCCCTTTCTCACACGGTCGTTTTGTAATCCGCAGCTCTCGAGAACGAGGTGTACCGCAACCCAAAGCATTCTCTGCTCGATCGTTCCATCAGCGGATTAATGGGTGGCAACGTGGCGGTGCCTCGCGATGGTGACTGCAGCGGGGATTCTTTGAAAACCGCTTTTGGACAGGAAAGGCTGACGGTGGGCACGGTGGTGTCAAGGATCGCAAGTTACCTAAACCCGAGCGCCGAGAGTAGTTCCCCCGATTCTGACCTTGAGTTTGTAGCCAACACCAAGGCCAGGGTGAACGAGCTAGAGCAAGAGGCCAAACGTTTGGAGAAAGCTTTCCAAAGCTACCATCTAAGAGTTACTCCACACCTCCCGGGAAGCCGTTCAGCAGCCAAGAGCCCGCCGCCCCTGCCCCCCCTGCACTCGACAGGAACGCTCCAGAACGCCTCTTCCAGTTGCCCCGGAAGACGTGCTTCTGCGGAGGACGTGGCTGTCGCTGAGCAGCCCGCGGCGGGCGCGCCCGAGGAGGACGGGAGCAGCGGTGCGCGCGCGCGGCCACGCAGGGGCGCTCCCTCCCGGCGCCTCTCCTCCACTCCCCTGCCCAAGGCGAAGAAGAGCCTCCTTCGTAAAATGTGTCTGGAAGGTGAGCTGCTGCCAAGAGGGTTGCAGGATGCTCCACGAGCGGAAGCTTCTGGTCCTCAGAGGGCCTCCGAACGGAGCTGGAGCGCGGCCCGGGATGGCAGGGAGGGCAGGACCGCGCCTGGCGGATCCCGCGCTCCGGCAGCCTGTCCTCTCGCTCACGCTGCCTTTCCTGGCCAACGGTGGCGTCTCCCTCACGTGGCGGGGGTGCCCAGGGAGGGTGTGGGGTAGTGTCCCATTCTAGCATTGTCCTCGGCACGCCGACCCGAGCAGAGAGCGACAGTGGCTTTCCCTTTACCTTTGGGGAGTCACCTACGTTTTGTTATCGCTACTGCAGTTACGTGCAAGCACCGTTAGGTGTGTGCATCGTTTACGTGTCCTGCCTAACTGTTCACAGGGATAATGGAGTTCGTTTTCAAGGTGATGGAACGTTTTAGAAACCGTGTTGCTGGCTTCTCCTTGCAGTTTGTCACAGTCAAGCCTTCTGCCCCTTACTCAGGTGTGGACATACCCCATGCTGCGGGCTGCAGCCCCGGTCCTGACAGAACGTCCCGGCCATCACCGCCCGGGTCCAGGCACGGCCCTTCCGTCCACACGCCACCCAGCCCTCCAGAGCAGGCCAGGTAACCCCCGCCTTCGCTCGCCCGCGCCGCGTCCAGGAAGCCGCACGCGGTCTCAGCTGGACTTGTTGGGGGCTTGGGGATAGAAAGACCACGTGGCGGTATAGAATTTGTAGTCTGGTTGGAAGGTGATGTATGATCTTTGAGAATCCTCTAAATTACCTGCATGGAGAAAATCTTCCCTTTTCGCAAATAAGTAATTACTACTGGTTTGCTAAGCTTGGTATATAGAGAAAACACTACAGTATCAATAAACATCTTCATAGTTCCAAGAGTAGACTGGGTTTATAAAAAGAAAACAAATGTACAAAATCTGCAAAAACAAATTCAGTTTAAATTTAAAACAATTTGGGGACTCCTTGGTGGCTCAGTCGGTTAAGCGTCCCACTTTGGCTCAGGTCATGATCTTGAAGTTCGTGAGTTCAAGCCCCACATTGGGCTCCATGTGGACAGCTTGAAGCCTGGAGCCTGCTTTGGATTCCGTGTCTCCCTCTAACTCCGCCCCTCCCCCACTCATGCTCTGTGTCTCTCTCTCTCTCTAAACTAAATATTAAAATAAAAAATTTTCACACATCGTTACAAAGTCATTTGAAAATATGTTGGCATTTAAAATATAAACAACGTTGATTTTTTTTTTTTGGGCCTGAGTATAGTTGACACGCGATGTTTGACTAGTTTCAGGTGTACAGCATAGTGATTTGACTGTACGTGATGCTGTGCTCCCCACAAGTGTCACTGCCATCTGTCACCATGCAGCACCACGACACTCCCACTGCCCCTATTCCTTGTGCCACACCTCTCATTCCCGTGGCTTACTCGTTTCCTAAGTGGAAACCTGTACCTCCCACCCACTTTCACTGATTTTGCCCACCCCTCCTCTCCCTCTCAAGACCGTCAGCTGGTGGTCTGTATTTACAGGTCTCATTCCGTTTCTTTATTCATTTGTTTTTTAGATTCCACATATAAGTGAAATCATAGGGTATTTGTCCTTCTCAGTCTGACTTCTTTCACTTAGCATAGTACTCTCTAGGTTCATGCAAGTTGTTGGCAGCAGCAAAAATCTCATCGATTATTAGGGCTGAATACTATCCCGTTACGTATATGCGTGTGTATACACACCTAGGCACCACGTTTTCTTTATCCCTGTGTCAGTCACTAGATATTTGGGTTGCTTCTGTATCTTGGCTATTGTAAATAATGCCGGTATAAATACAGGGGCGCGTATGTCTTTTCAAAATAGTATTTTCGTCTTCTTTGTGTAAATACCCAACGGTGGAATTGCTGGAGGATATGCTGATTTGATTTTTAGTTTTTTGAGGAAGCTGCATACTGCTTTCCACGGTGGCTGCACCAGTTTGCTTTCCTGCCAACGGCGCTGGAGGGTTCCTTTCTCCACGTCCTCACCCACACTTGCTACTTCTTGTCTATGTGATTCTAGCCACTGACGTGTGGCACATGATATCTCCTTGTAGTTTTGATTTGCGTTTTGCTGATGATGAGTGATGTTGGTCGTCTTTTCATGGGCCTGTTGGCCATCTGGATGCCGCCTTTGGGAGCTGTCTCTTCAGGTACTCTGGCCATTTCAGTCAGATTATTTGGATTACTGGTGTTGAGTTGTCTAAGGTCTTGACATATTTTGGTTTTTTCTTTTTTGCAAGAGCAGGGGAGGGGCAGAGGAAGAGGGAGAGGGACTCTTAAGCAGGGTCCATGCCCAGTGCAGAGCCTTCAAAGGACTTTGTCTCATGACTGTGAGATCATGACCTGAGCCAAAAGCAACAGTCTGACCCTTAACGGACTGAGCCATGCAGGCTCCCCTACGTATTTTGGATATTGTTATCGGATACATCATTTCCAGATCTTGTCTCCTGTTCAGTAGGTTGCCTTTTTGTTTGCCGATGGTTTCTTTTAGCTGTGCAGAAGCTTTTTATTTTGGTGTAGTCCTAATAGTTTATTTTTTATTTTGTTTCTTTTGCCTCAGGAGACCTATCTAGAAAAATATTGCTAAGGCTGATGTCATAGAAATTACCATCTGTGCTCTCTTCTAGGATTTCTGTGGGTTCAGCTCTCCTGTTTAGGTTTTTAACCCCTTTTGAGTGTATTTCTGTGTTTGGTGTAAGAAAATGGTCCAGTTTCATTGTCGGACACGTAGCTATCCCGTTTGCCCCGCACCATTTTTTGAAGAGACTGTCTTTTCTGCATTGTACTCTAGCCACCTATGTCGTAGATTATTCTGCCATATTAGTGTTTCTTTCTAGACTCTCTGTTGTGTTTCGTGGATGTATGTGTCTATTTTTGATGTATGGTTTTGATTACTACAGCTTTCTAGCATATCTTGAAATCTGATATTAGGATACCTCCATCTTTGCTTTTTTTTTCAAAATTGCTTTGGCTCTTTGGGGTCTTTTGGGGCTCCATACAAATTTTAGTATTATTTTAGTTCTGTTAAAAATACTGTTGGAGGGCACCTGGGTGGCTCAGAGGGTTGAGCATCCAACTTTGGCTCAGGTCATGATCTCAGAGTTTATGGGTTGGAGCCCTATGTCGGGCTCTGCACACAGCTCAGAGCCTGGAGCCTGCTTTGGAGTGTGTGTGTGAGCGCGCACCTCTCTCTCTCAAAAGTAAATATTAAAAAATTAAAATTTTGATAGGGATTGCATTCAATCTGTAGACTCCTTTGCGTAGCTGGGGCATTTCAACAATATTACTTCTAACAATCCATGAGCATGGACTGGCTTTCTACTTGTGTCCTCTTAGATTTCTTTTACCAGTGCTTTGTAGTTTGCTGAGTACAGGTCTTTCAGCTCCTTGGTTAAACTTATTTCTTTTTTTTTTTTTTTTTAATTTTTTTTTAATGTTTTTATTTATTTCTAGGAGAGAGAGAGAGAGAGAGAGAGACAGCATGAGCAGGGGAGGGTCAGAGAGAGAGGGAGTCACAGACTGAAACAGGCTCCAGGCTCTGAGCTGGCAGTCAGCACAGAGCCCGACGCGGGGCCCGAACCCACGAACCGCGAGATCATGACCTAAGCGAAAGTCGGACGCTTAACCGACTAAGCCACCCAGGCGCCCCTGGTTAAACTTATTTCTAAGCATTTTATTATTTTTGGTGCCATTGTAAGTGGAATTATTAATCTTTTCTGCTACTTCATTAATAGTATGAATAAATGCAACTGATTTCTGGATATTTTTCTATCCTGCAAGTTCACTGAATCAATTTATTCTAACAGTTTTTTGGTGGAGTCTTCAGTGTTTTCTATGTACAGGATCATATAATCTGCGGAGAGTGACCATTGACTTCTTCTTTTCTAATGTGGATGCCTTTGTTTTTGAGAGAGCGAGCGAGCACAAGTGGGGGAGAGACAGAGACAGGGAGACAGAGAAGCCAAAGCAGGCTCCAGGCTCTGAGCTGTTGGCACAGAGCCTGACACGGGGCTCCAACTCACAAACCATGAGCTCATGACCTGAGCCAAAGTCGGACACTTAACTGACTGAGCCACCCAGGTGCCCCATGGGTGCCTTTTTTTCTTACCTGATTGCTGTTCTAGGACTTCCAGTACTGTGTTGAATCATGGTGGGAAGAGTGGACAACCTTGTCTTGTTCCTGATCTTAGGAAGTTCCTATTTGTATATAATCAAAACAAAATCTACGTTGGTAGTGGGTCCTGGGATACACTGGCTAAAGCAGGAGTGGGTGGGTGTGTTTAGGGTACAGTGGTAGGTGCTCAGTCTGGGATTCGGGTCTCATGTGGGACCCCTGTTGGTGCCTGGTCCCCGTGACAGGAGATTCTGACTCCTGAGTTCTGGGCTCCAGCCTGGGCCTCTGAGTGTGGATCCCATTTTACTGTACAGCACCGAAAACTGCTGTACGATTGTGAAAACACAGGTTTTGCATGCCCCCCGCATGTGCCTATTATGATCCTAAAGCATGTAGTAGTTTTTTATATACCTCTTCATTGTAATAAAAGGCAAGAAGAAAGACAAGACAGGTGTGCTGAGTGAGGGCCCGTCAGTGCACGGGAGGGTAGCATCTTCAGCCGGCACGTGCGGGGGGGCGTGCACAATTTGTGTTTTTCAAAAACGCTTTCTGGTTCTTGAAATAAACTCTGCCCAGGAACAGCATGGTAATGGTGGTAGCACCTGCTTCACAGCGTGAGGGGGGTTCTGAAGAGTGACCGTTAATGGCTCCGAGGGACGCCTGGTGCACGGAGGGTGCCCGCTGCAGCGTGTAGCCCTTGTTCTCCGTGAGCCCAAGAAAAACGGCTTTTCTGCAATAGTTTCTTGAGTCCCAAAGAGTTTTTGTCCTGCTGTGCTCTTGGGTTTTACGTTCCTTCAACGTTACATCCTTGAATTTTATTCTTCCAATCCAGTCTTCATCAAAGTCAGATGGAACTTGAGGACAAAAGAGAATTTTCAGATCCGGACAAGCTACCTTTTAAGGACAATGAGGAATTTGGACCATCTTTTGAATGTAAGTTCAAATAAGAGTCCTGGTTTTTAGTTCGGAATGTAGAAGGCTTAGTTTTGGTGAAACCTGTCCATTATCATGAAAAGTGAAGCACTTACAGATTAAGACATTTTGATTTTGTGATAAAACCACAAATACAGATGTGTTGTCTCATTTTTAAATCGCGAAGATTTTCAAGGGGGTGTTCAGAGTTACATTCATTAAATATTTATGGATAGCTCACAATTTTACAGTTGGAGCTAAGCCTCTGCCTGAATCCTTAATTCAGTTTACCATGCTTGGGATTGCCTCAGATTTAAAGTAAATGATTTTTTAAAATTTAATTCCCCTTTTATGAAACATGAACACGCTAAGTTACTTTTGGTTTGACTTCCACTGATTCCAGACTGCCTCAGATCTGGAAAGCCCATTTTTTAATTAAAGAATGGAGGTAAATACTACAAGCTTCAGAGTCTAGTAATGGTGTCCCGGCCATGGCCCCGCTCAGAGAGTCTTTGTATTTGTGTATAAGCCGTCATCCTGTTTCATGAACTTCACCACTACGTGCGGAAGTAGGTTTGGAACGTTTAAATGGGAAGCTTGGCAAAGTTAGCAGCATCCCCGTGATTCCCTTTGTTAGGCTTGTTAAGTCCTTGACTTCAAGTAGAATTCAGACGATTATCAGCAAGCCAGGTGAGTTCTTGGACTCGGTCCATTTTCCTGTTGGGCGACACATTGATTTTCTGAGGGATGTAATTCTCGAAACCCTAAGAACCCTTGGAGATGGGAACACACGGCAGGCGGCCGTGGTGCAGACCGTAGAGCCGCCCGGCTTCTCCCCCGCCGCGCTGCACCCCCTCCCGTCGCCGTGGTGCCCGAGGACCCGGGGGACGCTTGTTCGCTCCTCTTGTAGATGCAGGGAGCACGCCGAGGCAGCGCGAAGTGGACAGCCTCCACCCCGCTGGCGACATGCCTCACACGGGTGCCGCCGCCGCCGCGTCTGCCAGACCTGTCTCCTGTCGCCACCCGAGTAAGTTTTGCTCTCTTTGAATTAACAAAATACATTAACGAATGACTAAGGGTTAATGTTATTTCATTTTCTATTCATTTGCTGCTGCTTCTGTATAAAGTAGGACGAGAAAACCCTTTCTAGGGCGCCTGGGGGTCTCCATCAGTTGAGCGTCGTTTTCTCCTCGGGCCGCAGGTTTCAGCCTCCGAGTTGGAGGGAAGCGCCCCACGCAGAGCCACCTGTAGGTCCGCTCCAGCCTGGGGGGGCCGCGTCCCTGACCCTTGCGCCGCCTCTTGAAAGCGGTCTGTTGGTTTGAGGCGCAGTTGGCAATGCGAGGAATCACTGAAAGGAGCCAGAGGCCGGGGAGAGGGCGGTTTTTGCTGATTGCAGAGGAAGTCCTTTCTGGAAAGCGCTCATTCAGTGAGACTCGGTCAAGAGCCTCTTTCTGTGCCGGGCGCTCCTGGCAGCCGGGCACCCGCAGTGAACCGACGCGGGGCCCCCGCTTCACGCGGCTTCCAGCGGCAGACTGGGACCGTCGGCCCGCCAGCGCTCACGGCCTCCGACGGGCGAGATGTGACCAGGACGGTGGCGCCCTGGAGCGGCCCTGGTGGGCAGAGACCTCCGCCACCTAGGGGATAAAAATCCTGCAGTAGGGTAGGATAAGGGACACCAACTGAGTGCTCTACGTTACAGTAGCTTCTTAAATACTATAAATGGTGGGGTTACGTTTTGATCGTTGAGAAACTCTCACATTTGTTTCACCTCTTCATCTGGGTGCGGAGGGAAGTGAAAAAGCCCAGAACTTGCTACCTTTCTGCCAGTGGAAACACTGCTGTTCTTTGCTCTTCCGTCCGAAGAGGTTCCACAGTGCCACTCAGCAGCCACCGCGTACACCTCGCGGCGAACGGGGGGCCCTTCCCCTGTCGTCTGTTGAAACCCGCACCCAAACAGCGTCCTTTCCCGCAGGCCGCTGCGCCGCGTGAGCGCGTGACCCATGTCCGGGTGACCTGCTTCCGGCGCAGGCAGGAGTGCAGCGTCCTGGCACGTGGCCGGCGGCCGCCTCTGGCGTTGGACTTGGTGGCCACGGTTGAGCGGAGGCCGTGCCACTGCTCTCCTGTGGGCGAAGCTGACTCCGTGCTAGTGACGGGCCGGAAGAGCCGCGGTCGGCCTGTGCTTGCGTCTGTGTGGCAGCATTGCGGCCACAGCCGAGGCTCCGGGCCAGAGCTGGGGGACAGAGGTCAGCATAGTCCTCCGTGGAACCGAGATCGAGTTAAACGTGTGAGGCGTGGGGACCTGGGTTGCCAGCTTAGGGAACAAATGATTGAAACGCGGTCCTTGGCCAGAAGGGACTGAATTAGGGAGACAGATGTGAATGGCCTTAGACAAGGCAGGTACGAGGTACTGTGTGAAGTGGCCGGTTGTCACTGTAGGAATAAGGAGCTCACGCAGGAGGTGGCATTTAAGTGAGGGCTGGCATAGTGGGGGGAAGGGAGCACGTCGGGTAGAGGAGCGCCGGCAAGCACGGCGTGGAGCAGGGAGGACGGTGCTGTCCTCGGGTACCCGCGTGTGTGATGGCTTCAACCGTGAACACTCTGCTGATGCAGGAAGTTGGGCAGGAAGGAGAAAGGCAGATTGCCGCCTAGCCCACCACGGGTTTGGATTCCACCAGGGTGTACACACGCCTCCCGGAGGTGACTGGTGCTCCCGCAGGTGCGGGTGGGCAGCCTGAAGGCAGAGACACACGGTCGTGGAGACCCTTGGCCAGGCGATTCGGGCCGCCCAGGGGAACGGTGATGAGGAAGGCGCGGGAGGAAGAGGAGCAAAGTGTAAGCCCCGGTGGGGCGGCCGAGTGGCCATGGTGTGGAGGGAGCATGAGGCGAGGGGCCAGAGTGAGGAGTTGAGCTGTGAAGCCACGGCTGGGGGATCTCCTGTGCTGATGGCAGGGAGCCCGGGGGAAAGATGGGCGTGAGCAAACACGGGGAGAGGCCAGGACCGGAGAAGGGGGGTGGGAAAGCTCGGGGATCAGCCTGGAGGAGGGGAGCAGCGGCAGCTACCTGGCTAGACCCGGGGAGGGGGGAGTCCCAGGGGGTGCTGCCGGGGGCAGGAGAGACCGCAGCACCTTCCCGGGAGCAAGGGGAGGACTTGGGAAAGGGCTGGGTCAGGGCGCCTGGGTGGCTCAGGTAAGTATTACTCTTGGTTTCTGCTCAGGTTGTGATCATATTTGAGGGTTTGAGCCCACATGGGGCTCTGCACTAACAGCGTGGAGCCTGCCTGGGATTCTCTCTGTCCCCCTCTCTCTCTGCCCCTTCCCCTCTCATGCACACGTGCATGTTCGCTCTCTCGCTCTCTTGCTCTCTCGCAAGTATGCTTTAAAAAAAAAAAAAACTTCAGTGTGTAAAAAGAAAAAGGGGAGGGTGGCTGTGTAATAAATAGGGACTAACGGTTAAGTGTGAATCCTAAAGATGGGGGGAGGCTCCACACCAAAGGCAGAGGTGGAAATGTAGGGCTTGACTGGGGAAGCAGGGAGGAGGTGGGCAGAGAGGGGGAGAGGTTGTGATTGGGGGGGTTGCGTGGGAGGCAGCTACAGTCATTGTGGTAAGGGTGACTTACCTGCATCTCAGCAAAGTAAGATGGGGGCGCAGTGCCGGGAGTGGGTTTGGGGGCTCAAAGATGGAGCAGGCCGAGAGTCGTAGGACCCCGCAAGCTCTTCCTGGTGGTGGGAGCCGGTCCCGCACTCCGTGGAGAAAGCGGACGCTGCAGACTACTCGCTCTTTTTTTTTTTTTCCTGGTCCCATTAGGTGTAGATCAGAAACAAATGGGAGAACAGACGGAAGAAGAAAAAATGTGGGAACAGCACATGACAGAACAAAAGCAGAGAGAAGAAATAAGGCAGAACGAACTGCAAGAAGCTTTAGAAAGGGAACGAAGGGAACTAGAGAAACTGGATCAAGAGCGGGTAATGATCAGTACAACCGAGTTCTCTACACCGGTGTTTGCACGGAGCGCTTCGGGACTACCTTGCTCTCCGGGAGGGGGTCCTTGGTGTGTCCCGGGCCTGGGGGTGGCAGGTGACTTTGTTTGGTTTTGGTTTTCTACCGTACAGCCTCATTAGAGTGTTACTGGCTGTGTTGTCCACTCCGTGCTTTTCGTCTCTGGAACCTACTTCTAACTGGAAGTTTGTACCTCTTAGTCCCCCCCACCCCCCCCCCCCCCCCCCCCCCCCCCCCCCCCCCCCCCCCCCCCCCCCCCCCCCCCCCCCCCCCCCCCGCTTCACCCATCCCCCACCCGCCTCTGGCAGCCACCAGTTTGTTTTCTGTATTTCTGGGTGTTCTCGGTTTTCCGATTCCACATAAAAGTGAAATCGTGGTATTTGTCTTTCTCGGATTTATTTCACTTAGCATCATACCCTCTAGGTCCATCCGTGTTGTCACAAATGGCAAGATCTCGGCCTTTCTGTGACTGATACTCGTCGTATGTATGTACTGCGTCTCCTTTATCCACTCAGCCCCGGATGGACAGTGGGGTTGCGTCCGTATCTTGGCCAATGTAAATAAAGTTGCTGTAAATGTAGGGGTGCACGTATCTTAAGAAATTAATGTTTTTGTCTTTTTTTTTTTTTGTTTTTTGTTTTGGTATAAATACCCAGTAATGGAATTACTGGATCATGTGGTAATGCTGTTTTTAATTTTCTGAGGAGCCTTCATTCTGTTCTCCCGAGTAGCTGCACCAGTGACTCCTTTTTCTCCACATCCTCGCCCAGTGGGTTGTTGCTTTCCTTTTTGATTTTGGCCATTCTGATGAATGTGATGTCCTGTGTCGTTGCTTTGATTTGCATTTTCTTGATGATGAGTGATGATGACTATCTTTTCACGTGCCTGCTGGCCATCTGGATGTATTTGGAAAAATGTTTATTCAGGTCCTCTGCCCATTTTCAATAGGATTGTTTGTTTCTTTTGGTGTTGTGTAAGTTCTTTATATATTTTAGATATTAACCTTTCATTGGATATATCACTTAAAAATACGTTCTCTCATTCAGTAGGGTTTTTTCATTTTGTCGATGGTTTGCTGTGCAGAAGCTTTTGTGTTGATGTAGTCCCAATAGTTTATTTTGGCTTTTGTTTCCCTTGCCTCAGGAGACCTATCTAGAAAAATGTTGCTAAGGCCAATGTCAGAGAGTACACCTGTGCTCTCTTGAGGGAGTTGTGTGCTTTCAGCTCTCATATTTCTATCTTGAATCCATTTTGAGCTTATTCCTAAGAAAGGGGTCTGGTTTCCCCAGCACCGTTTATTGAAGAGACTGTCTTCTCCCTTCAGTCTACTCTTGTCTCCTCTGTCGTAGATGACTTGACCGTATTAGTGTGGGTTTATTTCTGGGATTTCTGTTCTGTTCCATTCGTCCGTGTGTGTCTGTCTGTGCCAGTGCCTTACCGTTCTGATTACTACAGCTTCATAGTGTATCTTGAAATCTGGGATTGTGATACCTCCAGCTTCGTTCTTTTTCAGGATTGCTTTGGTTATTTGGGGTCTTGCATGATTCCGTACAAAGGTTGGTATTAGTAAGTTTAGTCTTACTGAAAGCCTGCTGTAGGCATCCCAATCTCCTTTTTCTTGAAAAGACTGAGGAAGGTTGTATATGACACAGACCCTCAGGAGTTACACAGCAAAGGGGAGCTTTTGCAAGCTCATGTGCATACATTCTCATCTGGTCCTGGAAACCAGCTGTCAAGGAGGTGGGCTTTACTTTGCTATAGATATTCCTTTTTTGTTCACTTTCTAACGTATATTTATGAGAGGGAGGGAAGGAGAGGGGATGTGCCCATGAGCATCTAGGCACCCTTAGATCTTCCCTTTTTAAGTGGGGTTTATTTATTTATTTTTTTCTCCAGAGAAGACTGAGTCTCTCCCCCCCACCACAGAACATAGTTTGCTTGCTTATTTATTTTTGTTTGTTTTTAATATAATTTATTATCAAATTGGCTAACACACTGTGTAAAGTGTGCTCTTGGTTTTTGGGGTAGATTCCTATGGTTCATTGCTTCCATATGACACCCAGTGCTCATCCCAACAAGTGCCCTCCTCAGTGTGCATCACCCATTTTCCCCTCTCTCGCCTATGCCCCATCAGCCCCCAGTTTGTTTGCTGTATTTAAGAGTCTTCCATAGTTTGCCTCCCTCTTTGTGTTTGTAACTAATTTTTTTCCCCTTCCCTTCCCCGATGGTCTTCTATTAAGTTCTCAGGATCCACATATAAGTGAAAACACATGGTATCCGTCTCTGACAGACTTACTTCACTTAGCATAATACCTTCCAGTTCAATCCACATTGCTGCAAATGGCCAGATTTCATCGTATCTCATTGCCAAGGAGTATTCCATTGTATATATAAACCACATTTTCTCGATCCATTTATCAGTTGATGGACATTTGGGATCTTACCATAATTTGGCTATTATTAAAAGCGCTGCTGTGAACATTGGGGTCCATGTGCCCCTATGCATCAGCACTCCTGTGTCCCTTGGGTAAATTCCTAGCGGTGCTATTGCTGGGTCATAGGGGAGTTCTATTGTTAATTTGTTGAGGAAACTCCACACTTTTCCAGAGGGCCTGCACCAGTTTGCATTCCCACCAACAGTGCAAGAGGGTGCCTGTTTTCTCCACATCCTCGCCAGCATCTGTAGTTTCTTGAAGTGTTCATTTCAGCTACTCTGACCGGCGTGAGGTGTTATCTCAGTGTGGTTTTGATTTGTATTTCCTTGATAGTGACGTTGAGCATCATTTCGTGTGTCTGTTAGCCATCTGAATGTCTTCTTTAGAAAAGTGTCTATTCATGTCTTCTGCCCATTTCTTCACTGGATTATTTGTTTTTCAGGTGTTGAGATTGGTAAGTTCTTGATAGGTTGTGGATACTAACCCTTTATCTGATACGTCATTTGCAAATAAGTTTTCCCTTTCTGTCAGTTGCCTTTTGGTTTTGTTGATTGTTTCCCTTTGCCGTGCAGAACCTTTTTATCTTGATGAGGTCCCAGTAGTTCATTTTTGCTTTTAATTCCCTTGTCTTTGGAGACCTGTCAAGCAAGAAGTTGCTACAGCTAAGGTCAAAGAGGTTGTTGCCTGCTTTCTCATCTAGAGTTTTGATGGTGTCCTGTCTCACATTTAGGTCTTTGATCCATTTTGAGTTTAATTTTGTGCATGGTTTAAGAAAGTGGTCCGTTTCATTCTTCTGCATGTTGCTGTCCAGTTCTCCCAGCACCATTTGCTAAAGAGACTGGATATTCTTTCCTGCTTTGTCAGAGATTAGTTGGCTGTGCATTTGTGGGTCCAATTCTGGGTTCTCTGTTCCATTGGTTTGTGTGTCTGTTTTTGTGCCAATACCATACTGTCTTGATGATTACAGTTTTGTGGTAGAGGCTAAAATCTGGGATTGTGATGCCTCCCGCTTTGGTTTTCCTCTTCAATATTACTTGGCTATTCAGGGTCTTTTGTAGTTCCATACAAGTTTTAGGATTGTTCTAGCTTTGAGAAGAATGCTGGTGCAATTTTGATTGGATTGCCTTGAATGTGTAGATTGCTTTGGGTAGTATTGATGTTTTAACAATATTTATTCCAGTCCATGAGCATGGAATGTTTTTCCATTTCTTGTGTTTTCTTCAATTTCCTTCATAAGTTTTTTATAGGTTTTAGCATACAGACCTTGTACATCTTTGGTTAGGTTTATTCCCAGGTATTTTATGGTTCTTGGTGCAATTGTAAGTGGAATCGATTTCTTGATTTCTCTTTGTTTCATTAGTGGTGTATAGATATGAAACTGATTTCTGTACATTGATTTTGTGCCCTGGGACTTTGCTGAAATCAAATATCAGCTCTAGCAGTCTTTTGGTGGAGTCTTCCAAGTTGTCCCTGTAGAGTATCAGGTCATCTGTGAAAAGTGAAAGTTTGGCTTCTTCTTTGCCAATTCTGATGCCTTTGATTTCCTTTTGTTGTCTGATGGCTGATGCTAGGACTTCCAGCACTATGTTACACAACAGTGGTGAGAGTGGACATCCCTGTCTTGTTCCTGATCTCAGGGGGAAAGCTCTCAGCTTTTCCTCATTGAGGATGATGTTAGCTGAGGGCTTCTTATAAATGGCTTTTATGATGGTTAAGTAAGTTCCTTCTATCCCGACTTTCTCCGGGGTCTTTGCTAAGAAGGGATGTTGTATTCTGTCAAATGCTTTTTTTTGCATCTATTGACAGGATCTTATGGTTTTTCTCCTTTCTTTTGTTGATGTGATGTATCACATTGATTGATTTATGAATATTGAACCAGTCTCGCCGCCCAGGAATGAATCCCATGATCATGATGAATAATTCTTTTATATACTGTTGAAGTCGATTTGCTAGTATCTTGTTGAGAATTTTTGCATCCATGTTGATCAGGGATATTGGCATGTAATTCTTTTTTGTAGGATCTCTGGTTTGGGAGTAAAAGTACTGCTGGCTTCATAGAATGAGTTTGGAAGCTTTCCTTCCATTTCTATTTTTGTAACACCTTGTGAAGGATAAGGTATTAATTCTGCTTCAAATGGGAAACCATCTAGCCAGGACTCTTTGTTTGTTGGCAGATTTTTAATAACTGATTCAATTTCTTCACTAGTTAGGGGTCTGTTCAAATTTTCTGTTTCTTCTCATTTAAGTTTTGGTAGTGTGTGGGTGTTTAGGAATTTGTCCATTTCTTCCAGGTTGTCCAGTTTGTTGGCATACGTTTTTTCATAGTATTTTCTGATAATTGCTTGTATTTCTGAGGGATTGGTTGTGATAACACCCATTTTCATTCATGATTATGTCTATTTGGGTCCTCTCTCTTCTTTTTGAAAAGTCTGGATGGTTTTCTGTCCCTTATGTGTTTTTAAAAGCTTGTTACGTGCCCTGCACCTGTGAGGACTACTATATTAAAGAGGGGTCATACACTGCCCAGGGCTTGAGCCCCTCTGTTCAAACCGTCCTCACTGCCCCACCCTCGTCCTTCCTCTGGGTCTCTTCTGCCCTTCTTTGTCCTGATTTTGGTCCCAGGTGCATGGATTCATACACCTGCTGAGTCCTACCAAAATTAATCTTCCGTAGGGATGTTCCTGGACTCCTGGTTAATTTGGCCTAAAGCATAGAAGACTTGAGGCGAAGTACTCGCTTGCTTCATTGAGATGGCTTGCTTGTCCCCCTCTGATAGCAGTGACTTCAATTTTTCTTTTTTTTTAATGTTTTATTTATTTCTGAGAGAGAGAGAGAGAGAGAGAGAGAGACAGTGTGAGCAGGGGAGGGTCAGAGAGAGGGAGGCACAGAATCTGAAACAGGCTCCAGGCTCTGAGCTGGCTGTCAGCACAGAGCTTGATGCGGGGCTCGAACCCACGAACTGTGAGATCATGACCTGAGCTGAAGTCAGACGCTTAAACCGACTGAGCCACCCAGGTGCCCCAACTTCAATTTTTCTTTGGCATGCAGGTTGTTCTTAAAGTATCAGGATTATATTAGTATGCATTTTTAAGCACTTCAAAGTTGTTTGATGTATTTGTGTGTTTCCTGTGTTGGTGCCTGTGGATTCCCCAGAGGATGATTGAAGAATCTTTGAAGAATGAAATGGAAAAAGAATTAGAAATGAGTGTTGAAGAAGTAAAAGACCAGTATGCTTGTGGTGAAAACCCTTTAGAGAAGTACATGAAAATTCTTCAGCAAAATCAAGACCAGGAGTCTGCAGATAAGGTGCCAATGCTGTGGGCCAGCTGTCTGGGGGGCGCGGGGGTGGGGGGGGAGGCTTGCCGGGGGATGGTTGGGTTTGTTTGAAGGCCTTAGGACGAGAATCTGCCTTCTCATTGGAGACAAAAAGGTAGAAGCATAGAAAATGCAAAGGTCAAATAGAGCCTTGAATCTCTTGGCCAAATTTCATCACTTTGGGTAGAGATGGAAGAGATTTCAGTGTGTCAAATTTGATTAAAGTTGGCATGTCTCTCGTTACTTTAAGGACAAGAAAGAGAAAGTGGAAGGTCTGTCCACGAACAGTGACTGCATTAGTGCTCTCTGAGGCATTAATACTTAAGTCTCACACACTGTGGCTGTTGAGAATGGGTACCACACGGTTCATTTCGTGTACCTACTAAACTTCATGCTTAGAAGTCCCCTCTTTTTTAGATTCTTGAATTCCATCTATATCTCAGAGATAGTTCTTAGAGAAATCCATGTATTGAATAAAATTGATGTATCTGTAATTCCAGAATTCTTTTTCCCCTTTTGTATCAGAGCTCAAGGAAGGTTGGCGGAGAAAGCTCACAAGCGGACACACTACCACCTAGTGACAAAGACGAAAGGTACGGCCTCCCACAGCGTGGTGTGTCCTGCGCAGCCCGTTGTGTGGCGGGTTGTGTCAGCCGAGGGAATGTTCACACATGTGAGTCTGCCTGTAAGAAATCAGTGAAACAAAAATAGGGACTTGAAAAAAAAATCTATTGCATTTTTTAATTTGCATAATTGCTTCTGATACAAATTCTAAGCAAGGGCATGTAGCCCACGGGGAAAGAATGAGAACGTTAGGAAGATCCCTGAATACATTTGACAAGGATTTAATAAAAAATGTTGTCTTTTTCCTTAATTTAGTTTCACGGGCTTTTCTCACGAAGAACCGGATGACTTCTGGTGACCATGTTTGCCGCTCAGCGCCTTACCATGTAATGGAATTCGAGGCCTGTGTATTCGCTGTAATAAGACCAACTTCTCAATAAAAATTTTATGTGCAGCCTCATGTGATCATGTTTTTCGTAATTTTACTTGGGTTATAAACCAAGGATTGTGTAAGCCAGCAACACCTCTTTAGGCTTTGTAGGACCCTGGAATGAGCGGGGGTGGGGGGGAGGGTTGGTTGGTTTTCACCTCCCCATTTTTGTCTTCGGTTATATTTATGGGACAACTTATTGATCAAGTTCCAGATCTACGGTTTGGAAGTCTCCTCTGGTCCTTTCCTCTCCGGAGCTGGGCCACCCCCTGCCAAACGGGAGGCCTTCCCCAACACTCTTCTTCTGACCCGGCGCTGAAAATAAAGACACTGGTCTTTCCATCCCAGGCTCTAGAAAGAGTTACAGTATCCCCTCTGGTCTTTGCTTTTCACATCTTCTTCTTGAGAACAAACACGACCCCTTCTTAGATGGTGCTAAAAAGAGGAGGTGACCGTTGCCGAGCACTTTCTGTGGACCAGGTACAATTTTAAACCTTGGTGTGTATACACTCACTCAATTCTTCTATCACCCATATGAAAGGTGTACTAGGACTCTCCACGTTTTAGAGATGACGAAACACGAGGCACAGAGTTTGTGACTTGACCAGGGTCTCCCAGCCATCACATTGCAGAGCGGTGGCGTGGGCCCCGGTGGGAGACCAGCACTGCCTCTACGCGAGGCTGTTGGGGAGCTGTTCCCATGGAGGACACCCCATGGCTTAGAGCGGCTCACCCAGTAGGTACCCCGCTCCACAGTGACTGTTAGGCACTGCACGTTGAACAAATAAGATAGCTGCACGCCGATGCAGCACCCCGGAAACTCCCACAAGGGGAGGAGGAAAGTCCTGTGCTGCTGTTCCCCTTTCTTCATCTTTGCACACCCGCACCTCACAGTCGAGCGTCATGTCCACGCGAGTGTCTTGGGAAAGTTCTTGAATGACCCTGCCAGTATAGTCACCAAAAGTGTACACAGAATGGCTCTAAGGGTGACCAAGCACCCAGTTTTCCGGGACCGGAGGGGTGCCCTGGGACGTGAGGCTTAATGTGCTAACGGATGGTCACCTGCTTCCTGACGGGATGGGTTTGTCCGGTCTGTTTGTTCAGTGAGGCCCCAGAGACCATTTACAAACACAGCCTGGGCTGAACCAGTTTTGCCTGTGATACTGGTCACTGTGTTCCACAGCAAAGTGGGAAAGAGGGTTTTTGGTGTTTGTTATTGCTTAGGCTTCTAAGGAATTTTTCACTGAAGTATCCCTCTGGGAGGAATTGAAGAAAAAAGTCCAGGCGTCCATCATCACACTTAGCATATCAAGCACTGAGTCAGTGCCACCAAGAACATGACATCTTCTCTTGCAACATCCCCTCATCATGCCTTTTTTTCTTCCAGCTTTCAGACAATGGACGTATAACATCTTGTGAATTGAAGGTATAGGAGGTCTTGAGCAGCACTGTCTGAGAGGGGCACATGCACGCCAATGTTTATAGCAGTGCTATCGACAACAGCCAAAGTTGGAAAGAGCTCAAATGTCCATCGACAAGTGGATAAAGATGTGGTAGATAGACATACACAATGGAATCTTAGCGATCCAAAAGCATGAAGTATTGCATTTGCAACAATATGGATGGAACTAGAGTGTATTATCCTAAGCGAAAGAAGTCAGAGAAGGACAAATAGATGATTTCACTCATCTGGAATCTAAGCTACAAAACAGATGAACATAAGGGAAGGAGAGCAAAAACAATATAAAAATGGACACCAACCATAAGCGACTCTTAAATACAGAGAACAAACTGAGGGGTGTTGGAGGGCTGTTGGGTCGGGGGATGGGCTAAATGGACAAGGGGCATTAAGGAGGACACTTGTTGAGATGAGCACATGGAAGTTGATGAATCACTAAATTCTGTTCCTGAAATCATTATTACACTATATGTTAACTAACTTGAATTCAAATTTCAAAATAATGTTTAAAGGTATAGAAGGTGTTGACGTGGTTGGCCTACATGTTGCAAAATTAGTACCAGCACGATGTTAGCAAACACGTGATTCGTGTCACATAATTTTCACTTACAGGTACGAGAACATAGTAACTTTCAAGTACGTGTTAATATTTTTAACTGTAGTCACAATGCTGTGCATTGGATTTTCTGAATTGGCTCATCTTGTAACTGGAAGTGAGTACTATTAGACCAACATCTCCTCTTTTCCATTCTCCCCAGCTCCTGCTAACCACTATTTTAGTCTGTTTCTAGGAGGTCACCTTTTTAAGATTTCACTTAGCATAATGCCCTCAAAGTCTCTCTCTCTCGTTGTAAAGAGCAGGATACCTTTTTTTCTCATGGCTGAATAATATACCATTGCGTGTATATATGTACCATTATAATCTTGACTCATTCATCCCTTGATGGCCACTCAAATTTCCATATCTTGACTATTGTGAATAATATCGCAGTGCATGTGGCAGTCCAGATCTCTCTTCAAAAGCCTGCTTTCATTTCCTTTGGACAAGTACCCAGTCATGAGATTGCTGGCTCACAGGGGATTTCTAGTTTTTACTTTTTTGAGGAGCCTCCCTACTGTTAACCACATTGGCCACACCAGATTGCATTCCCTCCGACAGTGCACGAGGGTTCCCTTCTGCACACCCTCACCAACACTTGTTATCGCTCGTCTTTTTCATGATCACCCTCCTAACTGGTGTGATGTGATGTCTCATTGTGGTTTTGATTTGCACTTCCCTGATGATGAGTGATGTTGACTGCCTTTTGATACACCTGTACGTTGGCTTTGGGAGAATGTCTGTTGGGGCTGCCTGGTGGGCTCAATCGGTGGAGCACGGGACCCCTGATCTTGGGGTTGCATGTTCAAGCCCCACATTGGTTGTAGAGGTTACTTAAAATCTTTTTTAAAAAGTTCAGTTCCTCTGCCCATTTTTTAATTGGATTGTTTGCTATTCTTTAGTCATATGAATTGTTTATATAGTTTGGATATTATCCTTCTTAACCAATATGGTTTGCAAATACTTTCTTCCACTCCATAAGTTGCCTTTTCACTCTGTTGATGGTGCCCTTTGCTGTGCGGAAGATTGCTGATTGGATTTCCTCTCACTTGTTGATCTTTGCTTTCGTTGCCTTTCAGTTTTGTGTCAAATTAAAAAAAAAACTCATTGTCAAGGCTGAGGTCAGTGAACTTTCCCCGTGTTTCCTTCCAGGAATTTTATAGTCTTGAGATCTTAGGTTCAGGTCGTTTTCGTTTCAAGTCTTTAATCCATTTTCATTTGCTTTTTGTGTATGGTGTACAATACGGGTCCAATTTCATTCTTTTGCATGTGCCTACCCAATTTTCCCAGTACCATTTATTGAAGAAACGACCCCGTCCCCTTTATTTTATATATCCTTGTATATTGTGGGCTCATTTGTTGTAAATTAATGGACTGTATATGAATGCATTTCCTTCTGGCCTTGCTCTCCTGTCCCACTGATCTAGGTGCCTGTTTTTATGCCAATACCAATATCATAATACATTTTGATTATCATAGCTTTGTACTGTAGTTTGAAATCTGGAAGTGTGATACTTTTAGTTGCGTTTGTTCTCAGGATTGCCTTAGCTGTTCAGGGCTTTATTTTGTGGTTTCATACAAATTTTATGATTGATTTTTTCTGTTTCTTTTTTGAGCATGTAAGTGGGGGAAGGGTCAGAGAGAGAATCCTAAGCGGGCTCCACACTGGGGCCCTCCACGTGGGGCTGGATCCCATGACCCTGGGATCATGACCTGAGCTGAACTCAAGAGTCAGATGCTCAACTAAGCCACCAGGACCTTCCCCTCCCCTGCACTTAATTTCCCTTTCTCATGCCTCATTTTTAGTGTGTAGAAACACAGCTGATACCTGGAAATTGATTTTCTATCCTGCTGGTTTACTGCTATCACTTCTTGGTTTTAATGTGTTTTTGGGGTTTTTTTAAAGTGGAATCTTTAAGGTTTTATATATATAATATTATGTCACCTGTAGATACAGACTATTTTACTACTGTTTTCTGACTTGGATGGCTTTTCTCTCCCTTGCCTAATTGCTCTGGCTTGGTCTTCAAGTACCGTGTTGAATAAAAGTGGCAAAGTTGGGCATCCCTGTGTTGTTCCTGATTTTCGAGGGAAAACTTTGAGCTTTTTGCTGTTGAGTATATTAGCTGTGGGCTTGTTACATACGGCCTTTATTGCACTGAGGCATGTTCCCTCTATACTCTGTTTAGAGTTTTTATCATGAAAGGATATTGAATTTGTGAAATGCTTTTTCTGCATCTAATGGAATGACTGTATGACTGTTATCCTTCATTTTGTTAATGTGCTGTATAACACTGATTTGCAGATGTTGAACCATCCTTGAATCCTTAGAATAAATCCCACTTGATCATGGCATGTAATCCTTCTAATGTACTGTTGAATTCATTTTGCTATTTTGTTGAGGATTTTGGCATCTGTTCATCAGGGATGTTGACTTCTAATTTTGTTTTTTTTATTATGTCCTTATCTAATTTTGATATCAGGTTAATGCTAGACTTGTAAAATGAGTTTGGAAGTGTTCCCTTCTGTGTTTTTGAAGAATTTGATAAGAATTGGAGTTAACTCTTCAAAAAAAAAAAAAAAAAAAACCGTTTAGTAGAGTTCACCAGTGAAGCCATCTGGTCCTGGACTTTTTTCTTGTTGGAAGATTTTTTATTATTCCATCTCCTTACTGGTAATTGGTCTCTTCAGATTTTTTATTCATGGTTCAGTTCTGTTAGGTTGTAGATTTGTAGGAAGTTATCCATTTCTGCTAGGTTGTCTAGTTTGGGTATCATTATTCATAATAGTCTTCTAGGAGCCTGTGTATTTGTATAGCATCAGTTTTAATGTCTCTTCTTTCATTTATGATTTTAAGTCCTCTTTTTTTTTTTTTTTTTGGTTCATCTAGCTAAAGGTTTTGTTTATCTTTTTTTTCTTAAACTTTTTTTTTAATGTTTTATTTATTTCTAGGAGAGAGAGAGAGAGAGAGAG